TATATACTTGTGAACAGACAGGAATATGTTTATTCATCAAATCGTTTAGGTTAGGGTCACCAAATAAGATAGTGTGCAGTGTTTTTTTGGCCTCCAAATCTATCAATATCTGAGAATAGCGGCTTCCTAAAGTCATCATATAAAGAAAAAGAAGTGAAATAAATTTTCGCATGGCGCGCCACATTCACAGGCAATAATATCAGATAAGTTAACCCGAAACAGGTCGAATTTTAATGTGCTGCAACTATGTCTCGGTCTAGTGTGCAATACGTTTGAAAAGCGTATTGCAATATACCGGTATATTGCAATACGCTTTTCAAACGATACGTATTGCAATATTTTTTTCTGAGAGACGGTATATCGGGTAAAGAACATATATGATCTTTTTGTGATTATCTTTATGGTTTAAGTTAAAATCTACACATTCTTTCATTCACAGCAAATGTTTTCCTTCATTATTCAATGACAAAATGGCCTATTGTAATACCACAAATTCAAAAAAGAAAATAGATCCCTGATTGTAACCTAATTTGGTGTTATCAGAACCATAACATGTATATTTGGGGACTTGTAATGTACGAAATAGGATTGACATGCACAATTAGTGCCACTCACTGTCAAACTCTTAAGGTCCCAATATATCGAAATACGGGTACCAGAATCGCAATACATTGCAGTACAATATATTTGCCTATACACAGCCCTAGTGACAATTATCTGAATAAATTTATGAAAATCAGTGAAAATAACACGTGTGCGCGAAAAGGGTAAGCATGTTCAACTGAATTTGAATCGAAAAGTGTTTGTTTGTTTGTTTTGTTGCATAGCAACTAACTATACCACAAACAAACATACATAATGTCATAACCAAACCCTGTGAGCACTGGTACAGCGTCCATATCTAACAGTTCAATGTGAATGATATATAAATGTTGTGTAAAAATGAAAACTAACGCCAATCATTGTTAAACAGTATATGTCCTATAAACAAATTATTTGGGATCAAATCTGCCTGTTACATTTATAAACGAGTGAACTGAATTTAAAAGTTCTTTGTCAAAACACATGTATGAAAAGTTATAGAAATTTGTATAATACCATATCAATATATCCCACTTTAATACAAATTTCACTTGTCTCACTAAGTTAGTTTGTGATACAAACTATGGCTCATGTGGACTAAGTGTTATCAAAATACTAACCCTAGTCAGCCAAATCCCACTCTGGCTATGTGAGAGACCTGTTTTGACAGAATCTGGCTAAGTGAGAGGACACCACTGTAACACTACGGCTCTAAAGGAAGTCTAGATTTTCTAGTGAGTGGGTGAGTTTAGTTTTACGCCGCAGATTTTCTAGAGTTCTCCGATTTCACTGTTACTCTTTTTCAAATTAAACGTGTTTGTTTCAATCAAAATTATATATTTTCAGAGACCATGCGCTAGTCTAGGGCATTGTGCTGACAGACTACAGTCATACTTCGGGCTGATCTGGGGAAGGAACCATGGGTAAGTGCATCCCCTCACTAGTAAGGGACGTAACTCTTCGTAAAGAGTTATGGTACCTTAGTCCACTGAGCTGTCAATACTTCCCTTAAGAGGTGACCTACTGGATCTAGTTTATAGTGATTTAATGTTGTGTCATAATGCAAGCTATAAATACACTTTTTTTAACTGGATATTTTGCTTGTGCGTTAAAAGCTTTACAATAGGCCAATAAATCATATACATGAGCAGGACAGACCTTAAGTGATCATACATCAACGATGTCACGTGTTATACCTGGACGACATATATCAGTTCGCCCAAATGAAAATATTATTTCAGTTATTATATCTTACACTGATGAATTAACATCTGTCTCAGCGCTTGATAGGCCTTCACCATAAGCAGGTTTATATAAAACTAGCACATCAAGGGTCATATGGGAACGGATCAATTTTATTACTTCCAGGCCGTACTCTTTTAAACGTAAATTGCGCTCGTAAATAAAAACAACACACAAGTACTCTGTTCTTATATTTGATCACTTATATTTGATCACTTATATTTGACTATGTATATTGAAGTCAAACATGTGTCAAACAATATCCCAACCTATTATCAGAGCTGCATTTGAGTTGGCAAGATTTTAGCAATATTCCATGTGTAATAAGACGGGGGACACCAGAAATGGCCCTCACAGAATTTACACAGTCCTGAACAGGAACTGCATGTAATGTTACCGGTGAAATACGTGTATATCCAGGTAAGAATGTTTACAGATTATTGAACTGTTATTAATCTTAATTTATCGCAATCTTTGAGTTAGAACAATAATATGGAATCGTTACAAACTGAATCTCTTCCTGGTTTAAACAAGTCTGAGTGAATTGGGGTTTACGTAGCCTTAAGTTATATTCCACCCACAGCACTGCGAGTAATTCTACCCACGTGGAGGAAATTAACCCGGATGTTTGGCGCGACGCGCGAACTCATAAACTACTACAGTCCGTTTGGCTCAAAAGCGGACCGATGAATTGAAATCTAACTCGAAAACTAATAAACATAACATACTCAATGAAACGCTGATCATAATCAAAACATCATACCAACTGGTGTTCGAGAAGCCAGGTGTTCGAGAAGCACGTTCACAGACAAAGTTATTTATTCATTAACCTGTGCTGTGCCGTCTCCATCCGTTCTCGAACACCTGGCTGTCCCTTTCTCTGCACTCCTCCTTCGTAAAAATAGGGAACTGTGTCAATATTTTAATGATAGATTGTTAAACAACTCTTTTATTTTTAGGACAAAATTCTACAAAACCTCACAGAGTTAGTATGATGTTTTGATTATGATCAGCGTTTCATTGAGTATTTTATGTTTATTAGTTTTCGAGTAAGATTGTAATTCATCAGTCCGCTTTTAAGCCAAACGGACTATAGGTGCTTCCCCGCTCGGTAACAGCAGTGACATTGTATAAAAGGAACTTTTAAAATGCCCGTGAAGATAGAACCTGACCAGCGATGTTGACTGAACCCCTGAGTAAATTATGTTTTAATACCGCGTCAGCAACATTCCAGCTGTATAACGGTACCTATAAGTAATCGATTCTAACCCGCAAACCAGTGGGTGATGACATGAACAACAAACAACGCCATTGACATTTCTTCGTTTGTTGTTTAACGCCACTCTCAGCAACATCCCAGCTATATGGTGGCGGTGTGTAAATAATCGAGTCTCGACCAGACATTTCAGTGGTCAACAGCATGAGCATCGATCTACGCAACTGGGATACGATGAATGTGTTTAGCATGTAAGCGAGCCTGGCCACCCGATCCCGTTACGACAGGAATGTATTTCATAGCTTTCGGCCGTGGACTGACTGACTGACTGCAGTTTGGTTTTACGCCGCTTTTAGCAATATTCCAGCAACATCACGGCGGGGACACCAGAAATGGGCTTCACAAATTGTACCCATGTGGGGATTCGAACCACCGCCCCTTCGGCCGTGGAAGCCGAAAGTCTAGTCGGCAGTCTAGAGACTACCAGTTGTCCCACTTCCTTTTGTGGAAGCCGCGGTGGCTGAGCGGTCTAGGCGTCTGACTTTGTGTGCTGGCGATTAGGTGCCTGACTCTGAGGGTGTGGGTTCGAATCCCGGATGGGACTTAACCCAAAAAGTACTAGAATCTGTACTTTACTAAGAAAGTGTAATCCCAAATATAACATGTTACATTTTACCATTTTCTAAAATGGCATTGTGTATTTCATGGGTTGCTGAATATACTGCTTGACTGTGTGGACTTTTCGACTGTAAGGGATTAACATTACAATACGACAAATGTGAAAAATCTGTTTTCCCACTTGAACGGGCATATCATTGTGAACTACCAGAGGGAAGTTGATCTGTATCATAAATTGTAACTATGTAATGTGAATAACGAATTGCGTGCTTTTGAATATAGTGTTCTGACATTTTCTGCTTGTTTATAACAATGTAATGAATATATATGCTTTTAAAATAAAACTCATTTGGACTTTGGACTTAAAAGGTGTATTAATTCAGACTTGATCTCGTCACTATTTGGCTGGAAAAATGCCGATGTGACGTAAAACCCAACTCAACCCAACTGCTGAAGAGCGGGTACCATTTGGATAGGATGTGATAACATGCTGCATCCAATACACAGAGACGGACCACCTGATCCCCACTTTAGTCGCCCCCCACGACAAGCAAGTGATGATGGTGCCGACTCGGACCAGGAACGCCTACAATGTGCATTTGTTGAAGAAATTAGGGAACATTCCTGGAGTTGCGCCCCCTTGCCCGCTTGGAGCGCTGCGGTAGTTAGGGTCCAAAAGTAGCTGTCACTCTGATACTGGCCTGCCTATCGGCCAAGCCTGAACTAAATCGACATTAAACCTACTTTTTACTCTGTGATTCTTATATTACGAATTACGGAAGCTGGAAGTTGTCCCGACTGAAGACTGTGCTCAAAGCACGAAGAACTAGCGTGTCTGGTCGAAAAATAATGCTAATAGAACGGTTATTGATAATATTGCCGTTTCTGATGCTTTGGATACTGCTAAGCTTGGCGCATCGCCTTTACCAATATATCCATTACCATCACCACAATCATCATCGCCATAGTCATCATCATCATCATCATCATCATCATCATCTTAAAGAAGATCTTAAACTGAGTACATACGCGTTACTTCAGGCTTAAATCGGTACCATCCGAAACATGTTAGTTTCTGAAAACTCGAAGAGATAATTCCAAGCTTGGAAAATCACACAAGGACGAGGACAAGTCGCGCCTAGGATTAGCCTGCTGACATCTTGTCGGAGTACTACAATAGATAGATACACAGATGGGACAGATTTGATTAGCTACTGGGGTCAGAGGAGGGGGAGAGGGATGGGGGAGTGACACACGGCGTTAAGTGCTCGACGAGACGTTCCGCGTTATTCATCATGATGTACACGCCTGTTGACAAAACAATCTCACAAAGTGCACTCACATCAAGGCAGTTGAGGAAATCGTACAACATGGAGTAGGTGAAGTCGTTGCGGTAACGTCCCAGCGGGTGTATGCGGTTGTGGAGGCTGTTGTAGAGGATGCGGGCGTCAGCCAGACCGATAAGAAGCACGTGACTCTTCATTGGCAAAACCTTGTCCTGCAATTTAAGATGAACAGTTTAAAATAAAATATTCAGCTCATGAACGTTTCACTGTGTATGTCCTGTGTGACTGATGAATGGTCCATGAGGTAGTTTCCTTTTTTGCCAATAATCATATGTCATTCCTAATATTTCCAACACAGACCCCTAAACCCCCACCCCGACCCATATTGTACCACTGTTGGAATCGAACCCGGGGTTTGGGCGTGACTAAGCAACCATTACAACCACTAGGATAACCAGCCACCTTTCAATATGTGATTAAAAACAAAAGATGACGGGCTCCAATGAACAAATATCTAACCTAAGTACTTTATAGTTTTTTGGAGTTCACGAGAATAGGTATGGTGCTGACAAAATTTAGGGAGTCTGGGGTTCGAACCCTATGGGAAAAATCCCCTTGTTGAGGATATATTCTGCAGCTATAAAATCCAACCTTATCCGTACATAAAGCTTCGTTTTGGATCCAGTGTATTCTGACTGGATTCAAATGGTAGATACCTTGGACCTGTTTGTGACCATAGCTTCGACCGGAAGTGACGTAGCATTCCATCGTATCAGCAATTTCCCAGATAATTTTCATCTATGGTTTCATTGTACTGTTATTTACAGTTTATTGTAATTTGATTGGGTGGCTATTTGTAGTTTCGTGTCATTCAGATTGGACTCCAAACGAAGTTCCGCTAACGAATGGTATGATGTATAAAATTTAATGGAATGGCGACCAAAATCACTAAAATGAATGATGTGGAAACTGGTAGTTCTATTCTAAAACAAATGACACACCAGGTATCTAAGCGTCGTCATGGTGTTGTTGCGCATCTGAGCCGGTGTTGTCATGTCGGCGAACGTGTCCTCGTGGCTGGATAGATAGAAAAAAGTACAATGAGTGATTATTTAACCCGCTCTCTGCAGCATCGATCCATAACTAGTCCCATGTTGATATACCCATTGTATTTGCCATTGATACATACTCGTTGTACACGTCACTGGCGAATACAATGCGTATTTCGATACTGGCACCAACAGAAATGTACATTGACAAACCCCATTGCGTTCGTCCTAGATACAAACCCAATGTATGTACGCCATTGGCAAATGCCCATTTGTCATTGACACACACTCCTTGATTACGTCATAGTATTTGAATACATACCAACTGCATATATCACTGAAAAAACAACACATTATGTTTGTCATTGGGACATCCCACTGTATTCGTCATAGATGCAAACCCATTGTACTCGTCATTGAGACATACCACTGTATTCGTCATTGAGACATACCACTGTATTCGTGACATTCGTCATTGAGACATACCACTGTATTCGTCATTGAGACATACCACTGTATTCGTCATTGAGACATACCACTGTATTCGTCATTGAGACATACCACTGTATTCGTCATTGAGACATACCACTGTATTCGTCATTGAGACATCCCACTGTATTCGTCATTGAGACATACCACTGTATTCGTCATTGAGACATACCACTGTATTCGTCATTGAGACATACCACTGTATTCGTCATTGAGACATACCACTGTATTCGTCATTGAGACATACCACTGTATTCGTCATTGAGACATACCACTGTATTCGTCATTGAGACATACCACTGTATTCGTCATTGAGACATACCACTGTATTCGTCATTGAGACATACCACTGTATTCGTCATTGAGACATACCACTGTATTCGTCATTGAGACATACCACTGTATTCGTCATTGAGACATACCACTGTATTCGTCATTGAGACATACCACTGTATTCGTCATTGAGACATACCACTGTATTCGTCATTGAGACATACCCACTGTATTCGTCATTGAGACATACCACTGTATTCGTCATTGAGACATACCAACACACCACTGTATTCGTCATTGAGACATACCACTGTATTGTATTCGTCATTGAGACATACCTCATTACTGTATTCGTCATTGAGACATACCACTGTATTCGTCATTGAGACATACCACTGTATTCGTCATTGAGACATACCACTGTATTCGTCATTGAGACATATACCACTGTATTCGTCATTGAGACATACCACTGTATTCGTCATTGAGACATACCACTGTATTCGTCATTGAGACATACCACTGTATTCGTCATTGAGACATACCACTGTATTCGTCATTGAGACATACCACTGTATTCGTGAGACATACCACTGTATTCGTCATTGAGACATACCCATTCGTCTGTATTCGTCATTGAGACATACCACTGTATTCGTCATTGAGACATACCACTGTATTCGTCATTGAGACATCCCACTGTATTCGTCGTTGAGACATACCACTGTATTCGTCGTTGAGACATACCACTGTTTTCGTCATTGAGACATACCACTGTATTATTTATCAAGTTTAATTTCAAGTTCAGTTTATTCTCAAATAACCACGTTTGGTGGGACAAGAGAAAGTCAAACATAATTCACATAAATACATATAAACAAACATGACAAAATGACAGGTAGACCAGTTCAAAATGAAACATAATAATGCCAGAAATCAAGAGCTATTAAATGATTTGTTGTCTACAGAATGAGCAAATTGAGATAGTACCAATTTAACCATTTTCCCCCTATAAGTTTATCCAATACTAGTAGGTATTTGGATAGATTTTGTATTTCTTTTGAATTTCTACTATTAAATATTTTCTTCAGTGTTGACAAATTATGTACATATGTCTAGTTGGTAAATATTTTAATCTAATGTCTGTAAGGGCTTCACATTTAAATAAGTAATGAAATCTATCGCCTATTGCTGCTGAATTGCAATGTTTACATGTTCTGTTTTCTCTAGCAATACCATGACAACGACCAGTTTCTACCGGGAGATTGTGATTTTGAGATTGAGTATTTCAAAATAGGAGAGTAAATATAAGCCGGGAAGAGAAGGTAGTTTTCAAGTATCGGGGTATCTTTAATATGTTTATAGCTATTTACAATATGAGCTATCCAACTTTGGTGGAATTGGTCTTTTAATACAATCTCCACTTGTGAAACTAGCCATTGTCATTGGACGCTTACAGGGTTATAGAATACAAAAGATAAGCCACATTTATCTAATAAAGATTTAACATGATGCGTCCAGGGATCAAAATCATTCTCAAACATACTTTGTATCGACACCTACCCATCGTATGCCCTCGATGGATACCTATTACATACATCACTGACGCCCATTGCATACGTTATAAACAGATACGTACTGAATACGTCATTAATACGCACCCATTGCAGACGTCGTTGCCCACGAGGGCGTACAGTGTCAGGAGAGGCTGGTCCTTGGCAGGATCACGTGACAGGCTGAAAATATACAGCGTACTTTCCAGTGACGACGGGTTAATATACCGGTAGACATTGTTGCATGGGTGGGGAAGAAGGATTGGAAAGCTGCTCCAAAGTTTTGAAAACAGAAGAAAATATATATCAAACTTGATTGCTGAAAAATCTCTGTTCTCTGAAAACTTACACAATCTGTATTTTGGGGTTAAATATATTTGTCCGTTTATGAAATCCTGTTCAGTCCGTCTATACATCGATAACGAACTACTACTATGTATAAAGAATATATATTCATTTTAAAGTCAGTAGTAGTAGTAGTAGTAGTAGTAGTAGTAGTAGTAGTAGTAGTAGTAGTAGTAGTAGTAGTAGTAGTAGTAGCGAGTGAGTGAGTGAGTGAATATGGTTTTTCGCCGCTCCAGCAATATCACGGTGGGGGGCAACCAGAAATGGGCTTCACATATTGTGCCCATGTGGGGAATCGAACCCGGGTCTTCGGCGTGACGAGCGAACGCTTTAACCACTAGGCTACCCTACAGCCCCTGTAGTTTTAGTAGTAGTAGTAGTAGTAGTAGCGAGTGAGTGAGTGAGTGAGTGAATATGTTTTTTCGCCGCCCAGCAATATCACGGTGGGGGGCAACCAGAAATGGGCTTCACATATTGTGCCCATGTGGGGAATCGAACCCGGGTCTTCGGCGTGACGAGCGAACGCTTTAACCACTAGGCTACCCTACAGCCCCTGTAGTATTAGTAGTAGTAGTAGTAGTAGTAGTATGTGATGTGGAGGTTACAGTGTCACCTTTTCTGAATACCGAGCATGCCGTGAGAGTCCGCACCTGAAAATATATGAATTTATGGCAAATAATTAAAACTATTACCTTTTCTCAATGTCGATCATCTTACCAGATCTAGCTCCTGAAAATGAAGCGAAAACAGAGATAGTCTTCGTGGTAGTATGCTTTTTCTAGAGATCATTCATAACCCGCCTGTGAGTGGAATATTAAAGAGATGCAACGAATTAAACCATCCAAAAGAGCAAAGAATGAAGAAGCATTTTGCAGAGTTTGTATTTTCAATAAAAATATAAAACACATTAATCTCAGTTTATTCCAAGGTTTATGTTTGTCATGAGTTTTTTTTAATTAAATGAAAGAATTCTTTGTGGGACATGACAAGCCCAAGGTTTACCTCCCTATCTGTTCATTTTAAAGGGCTTTTGTCTTTAGTCATTAAACGGCCTGACCAGATAGGAAGGAAATTTAAATATTTTATTCCACACCAACTAAAGGAATACTCCAAAGCCCTATGTACCCGTGAAGATCCGGGTTAGAAAGAATCTTCAGTAACCCATGCTTGTCGTAAGAGGCGACTAACGGGATCGGGTGGTCAGGTTCGCTGGCTTTGTTGACACGTGTCATCGGTTCCCAATTGCGCAGATCGATGTTCATGCTGTTGATCACTGGGTTTTCTGGCCCAGACTCGATTATTTGCAGACCGCCGCCATATAGCTGTAATATTGCTGAGTGAGGCGTAAAACTAAACTCACTCACTCATAACATTGTGTAAAAAATCTAGATCCTAGAAAATGTCAAACGCAACTCGTGTGTCTAGTGTGATTAATGGTTCACCATTGTGGCGTACCTTGCTGATTCACTGCAATATCATGTGCTTGTTGCAGGATACACCTGAATGAATGAGTTGGGTTTTAGTTCTCTTTAAGCAATATTCCAGCAATATCACTTTAGCTGACACCAGAAATGCGCTTCACATATATGGGGAATCGAACCCGTGACTTCAGCGTGACAAGTGGAACTTTAACCACATGGGTACAATGCGTGAAGCCCATTCTGGCGTCCCCGCCGTGAACTGCTGGAATCTTGCTAAAAGCGACGTAAAACCATACTTATAGGTAGCATATAGGTTTTCTTCAAGACGTCAGATCCTACATTGTGACAGAAGCCAGGGTCTAGATTTCCGAAGCTCTCTTAGTGTTAAGATGGTCGTAAATGCCATACATTAACATTAACTTACGACTATCTTAGCTCTAAGAGAGCTTCGAAAATCTAGGCCTAGGTTTACAGGTGAAGCTTGAAGGATTTTAAAAGAAAATTTTGAACATGTGACAAGTTCTGTTTTTATCTATTTTGTGTAAATTTCAGGGCTGAAGTAGGAATCGGTGATTCTGAATTCACGAAGTTTCTTAAAGGTTTGTTTTAATTACAATGCTCAGATGATATGCACAAATAACCTTGCACAATGATACGGTAACCAATATCACCTCATTGAATACTCCATGTAGCGTTGTGTTGTCTGACCAATGCACATTGTCGGCTATCGTCCAAGCTTTGTTTACAGATTATGTCAGGTTTTATCCGAATGAAAACAATACGTCGGAAACTGTGCGACCCCCTGCACGTAATGTTTGCCACACATTTGCGACCTCTTCAACACCGAAAAACAAACATGTTGCGTTGCGTTGCTTTGCCTCCTAATTTGCGATCATTACCAGTTTTTAACGCTTGTATTTTAAATCATCTTTCCTTTTTCTTTCAGTCTTGTCTTTTCGCATGTAATGATCAGTGCTTAAAATAAGGAAGGACAACCGCTTTACGATAAAACCTTTGTCTGAAGAGTTGTACATAACAAAAACATGTCACCGCGTTAATTATTACGTCAACATTTATCCTCAATATGGGTTGAATAAACAGTACATTCAGTTTTAATCTAGAGATCTCCCGAATAATCGAAAACGGATTTCGCACGCAACGACTCTCCTTCCGGCATATTTTACGTCCGTCACAAAAGAGTTCACTGGCCTAACTCAAATTTGTCTTTTAACTGAGATAACGCGAGATAACGTGAGAAAACGCGAGATGACGTTAGAAAAGTTTACGGCGCTTTTCAGGCAAGCTGTTTACGACACTCTGAATGTAGTCGTGAGTTGCAAAGGCTTACGTCGATATTCAGTGTCCAAAGATATTTATGTCATTGCTCATTGTGTGTTTTGGAGTCGTGTCATCAGATTTTCATCATTTGGCTTCTTCCTTCAATTCTTCTTTCATTTTGTTGGTTTTGAGGTTGTTGTGTTATGTTCACGTGGGGGACAACGGTTGCGTTTGATTAGTTCTTCTTAACTCGTCACAGACGCCATAGTCGATGTAAACTTTATAAGATTAGTTGTTTCATGTACAGCTTCATGTTTGTTCTTGGGGTGTTTTCAGGAGCGGTATTTGGTTTCATATTTTAAGTTTCATTCGATTAGAATAGTGGTATTTCATTTCCACAAATCTCACTTGATTCCTTAACGTGAAGATCGTATGTGTGCAGATGCATTTCATTACAGCCTCATAAAGACATTAAAACAGATTACATGCATCTGAATTCGCTGATTCGATATATTTTAGCTTCTGTTTGGTACCCATTCCCGGTATACTTAACGTATGACATTGTGTGCCTAGGCGCCAGGCTCTGCGATTCAGGGTTAGAATTCCGGGTTGAACTCAGAATCATTCTGTACGTTACTGAGAAATGCCAACTATAACATACATTACATCTGACCACTATTGGCAGTATGTGTAGTCGTTCCAATTATACATATTGTATGAAATTCTATGTTCTGTAAGAAGTTCCGGAGAAGAAATAGTTCCCGCTACCCGTACTCAGTTTTTCTGGGTTTCAAAACTAACGTAAAGCACTAAAGAATGCACAGGGAGTTATCTCAGAAAACTGCTGAAAAACATGGCCCTGACAAAAATAACACGTTTTTATGAACTGGAGCGATTGTGCATCTGAAGCTCAGCTGCTGAAAAACTGTCAAGCGAAATTAATAAACCGGTAAGAATGTTACCGTGTCTTGTTTGAAGAAAGGAAAGTTACACCACGTCCATATTCAAGTTCTCTCACGAACACATATAGAGAAATATCATCCCTGTTTGTTTTCAAATCTGATGTCTCCTTTCTTCAATAGGCTTATTAGCATACATCTTTTATGAACACTTTAATGATAAAAAGAAATAAAGAAATGATTTGGTGAAATGTTTTCAAAAACAAAAGTAACATGGCCGTTATGTTTAACATATCCCTGTTCTAAATTTCGGTTTCCTACAATTGGTCATGTTTGACAGTGAAATAAGCGTTAACTGAAGTCAAGGACGCAGATGCAACTACGAGTTCCCTCCCTTGATGAATCAATTCATATAAGAGTTCGTAAAATCCTCATCCTGTTCGTCGTGGATTCGGCACTAAAATCTGTGCGAAGGTCAGGCCTTACCATTGACAGCGATGTTTTGGTAATCTCTGTGGTTGCAACGGTTCCTGGCAGCCAGTCTCAGATACAATGAGTCGATTGGTCCTTGGATTACTTCCGGCCAACTGTTGTTACCGTGACCTTGAAAAATGATGGTGAATATGATAATGAGTGAGTGAGTTGGGTTTAACGCCGCCTTGAGCTTCATTACGGTTATATCACGGTATGTCTGCTTGATATGGAAGGAAAACCAAAAGTAATGCAGATCTCAAGATTTGTGAAATCCCCGACTCAGGTCGTGGTGCTGCCAAACTAAAACATAATCGGGACTAACCAGGTTTTGAACACATGATCATAGATTCCTGGCGTGCCCAAGGTACATAACTCTGCAAATTGAATTGCAGCACCTGAGATGATTGGACCACAGCTAAATCAAAATTGATCACAAATAACGACAAAAACGATAGGACGAAGGAGACATTCCTCAAATTGATATATTCTGGAAGTTGGAAGCATAAATAAGGCTCATGTTCTACCTGTAGCCGAGGACATCTGAGGCCAATCTATCTCGTTCTCCAAGATGAAGGGCAGGTGCTTGAACACTTCCTGGAGATATCAACGGACAAACACTGTTTAGAAACATTAGTGTTCTTTATCATGCTACAACCGCATTTGATGATGGTATGTAGGAGGTGAGGTGAAATGGGGTTTAACGTCGCACTTAAGAATATTTCGCTCATATGGCGACGTGCATGCGTGTGTATGTGCGGCTGCGTGTACTAGCCCAGACTTAAGCTGGTTTTATAGTGCTAGCCCACTGAGATACAGTGAATGCCGCAATGAAGCTGATGAATTGACCAGTCCCACTCAAACACATTATACTGACTCCAGGCCGACCAGTCCTTGTTGTGACGCCGGGATAATGCCGAGCGCCGGGCGGCGCTCTAAGGGACCAAGAGGCGTTACCAACATTTTAACGTCTTTTTGTAGCCATGACGCGAGCGCCAAGGGACCAACAAGTACCAAATTTTAACGTCGCGACCTTCCGCTCGACCTTCCGCTCTCCGGGCGGACGCTCTAACCACTACACCAGGAGGCGGTGATGGTATATAGACATATTGTAAGACGACCCCCCATATGTGGATTTCGGCTTATGATCTGAGTAGCCCTTATGGTTTGGGACATTGTTCATGATATCAATCACTCAATTATTTCGGAGTGATATAACTGAAATACTGTCACATGTGACGAGCACGTGAAATGGGTGACTTTTGAGCAATGTGTCTGAGAGTACATTGTACATTGGCAAAAGAGGAGGATGGGAGCATTGTGTTTTCCCTCAACGTACAAATTGTGACGTCAATGACTGATATTTGTAATGTATTGCGAAAAGCATTGTAAACATATTTCAACATGGAAAGTCTAGTGGGGTAGTCTAGAGGCTGTAGAGTTCGCTCGATATTGTTGGAATATTGCTAAAAGCAGTGTAAAACCCAACTCACTCACCAAAACTACATATATGACATGTCACAAATGGAAAAAAATCGTTTTCTACGTATAGTTCGGAGAAGGGGCGGTGGGGTAGTAAATAGTGGTTAAGGCGTTCGCTCGTCTCGCCGAAGACCCGGGTTCGATTCCCCACACGATTCCCCATTTCTGGTGTCCGCCGCCGTGATATTGCTGGAATACTGCTAAAAGAGGCGTGAAACCCATACCACTCACTTAAGTCGGAGAAATGTCTCGAATCTGCTGATTCCGGAACTAGAATGACCCCGAATTAAGGAGATATTTTGTCCAAGAAGCCGTTATATAACTGTAATATTCTCAACTCCTGTATAACATCACGTGTACGTACAATGGAGAGCTTCCGGGCGTCCATCCACTCCTCTGGAAGATGGAAGTGGGCGCTGATGGAGTCCCCCAGTACAGCAATACCCCTCTGCTCTGTACCTCCACACAACACCTCTTCGTAAGTCTTGCCAGTCGTGGGATCGGAACCCTGGAATAGGAGTCAATCAGCTAATTACTATGGTCAGTTTGTTTGTGGTTGTTTGACATAACCGTGTGAGGCAATTTATAATCTGTTTTGTTTTGGGTTTTTTAATGGTTTAAGGCCGCACTTAGCACTATTCCAGCTATATAGCGGCGGTCTGTAAATAATCGTGTCTGGACCAGACAATCCAGTGATTGACATCATGAGCATCGATCTACGCAAACTGGATACGATGACAAGTGTCAACCAGGGCCCCGTTTCACAAAGCTCTCGTAGGCCTAAGATCTCGTAACTTTTCTCGTAGCATTCGTACTTCCTATGTTACAGTAAAGCAGGTACTAATGCTACGAGAAACGTTACGAGATATTAGGCCTACGAGAGCTTTGTGAAACGAGGCCCAGGTCAGCGAGCCTGACCACCCGATCCCATTAGCCGCCTCTTACGACAAGCATGGGTTGCTGAAGATCAATTCTAACCCGGATCTTCACGGGTACCAGCCTGTTGTGTTGTCGTAGATGCACTTGTAATATAGTGATAGTTAATGCCCCATTGCAAATATAGTGTCCAGTTGTCAAAGCAGAAGTCATGTATCTATATCACAGTTTCGTGATGAAGACATAAAGTACATGTTGTACTCACGTAAATGCCGTTGCAGTTTGAATCATCGGCGATGTCGTTCATAATTGGTCTGCAGAAGAAAAGTGCCTTAATTGTTTGTTAGTTTGATTGTTAATCACAATATTCTAACTTTAACGTGTCGATCTTACAATAATCAAATCTGGGTCAGACAAACAGGTAACACATTCTGATGAACGCCCCTCGCTGTTTGAGTATAATGATACACTTGGTCCGGTCTCTCATGACGAAGCGCAAAGCGAGGACCAGTTTAGATATAATGATACTAATAGGGCAGCACATTCGTCTAAGACGCCACAATGTGCTATGCAGCGTTAGGTTCTTTGGACACGCCAGAAACCTATGATTGTGGGTTCGATTCCGGGTTCTGTTTCTAGGTTTGTCACCCGTGAATAATCTCTGAAAACTGCACCACCTCCTCCCATAATGAATATATTTTTGGCAATAAGTCTGTAGGAGATGAATATCATGCTGATTTAGAGTGTCAGTACTTTAGAACATGGGAAAATGTATTACAAAGTAAATATTACATATATAAGTCCTAAGTTGTTACGTTTTGTCAATTATTGCAAAATGAAAATATTGTCGTTTAGGAAAGCCAGAATTTCATGATAACATCAAAGTCCTTTGCATAAACTATGTTTGCTCATTAGTTCCAAATTTGTGTCACGTACGTAATATGTATTCCCCCGGTCCCCAAACTGGAAGTGTAATTTGAATCATTATATGCGGTTGTGTTCACTCTTCTTCTATCCCCACAGGGGTACAATGTTCGAAGCCCATCTCTGGTGTCCCCCGCCGTGATATTGCTGGAATATTGCTAAAAGCGGCGTAAAACCAAATTCACTCACTCACTCTTGTTCTTCGAAGACTTACCTGGCGCCAGCATGTTTGTCGCCGTTGCCGTCATCGCAGTCACGACCTCTCCACGACGTGCCTCGCAGCGTCTGTAACAACAATATGGACATCAAGTGTGAAAACTGAATATCTAAGCTACCGGGCTGAACAAAGGACATGTACTCACTTAAAATGTACAATTGTTTTCCAAACTTTACTAGGCTGAAACATTGGGCAAAGCAAGTTTAAACAGAACTATAGCACCAGTAAGAAATACGTCACCATCCAATACCATGTCTTGTATGTTTCGTCACTGAAAGTGGGTGTATGGTTTCCATTGCCTACATTCTGTAGGCAGTAGGCAAATGTTTTAAACAAAAACGAATGGGGAAACACCGTAAGTATAAGAAGGAAGACTCGGTTAAATTGATTATATCATGTACTCAGGTTCAAGATCAAGTATGTAAGGTGCTGAACAACGGAATGGCCCTAAACAGACACTTTAAACAGTGAGACCTCATTAGTCCACATCCCGTCAAATATGGACCCCCATATTCCGGACAATCACTAAAAACATAAGAGTATGATACTTTATGGTTTACAACTTTTTTGTAATCCATAAAGTATCGTACTTGTCTTATTATTCATCAACTTCTAAACTGCCAAATCACTGAAAACGCTTTATGTGTACTATAATATTTACCCTTACCCATGATCTTATTATCCGGACATTCGTTAATCCGTATGATTTCAGTGTGAATGTCATCGTCGTGATAAACGGAATTTCACTCAGATATCGTTAAGATTCACATCACCAATAAAATATTCAATTATGCTCAATTTTGTAACAGTTATATGTTTCCCAGAAGGACGCGTAATTCATAAGTGTTAGATACGAAATGTTTAGATGTAACCATACCCTTGAAGGTCCGGGTTAGAATATTGATCTTCAGTAACCAATGCTTGCTTTAAGAGGCGACTAACGGGATCGGATGGTCAGGCTCGCTGACTTGGTTGACACATGTCATCGGTTCCCATTTGCGCAGATCGATGCTCATGCTGTTGATCACTGGATTGTCTGGTCCAAACTTGATTATTTACAGACCGCCTCCATATAGCTGGAATATTGCTGAGAGCGGCGTTAAACTAAACTCACTCACTTAGATCTAACACAACGTGAACACCCACCTCTACTGTGCTGAAGCCATCCTTGTCTATATCAACACCAGGATCGTGGTTGTCGAAGATGCTGCAAAATACATTTTGATGTTGTTAGGTTATGAAAGTAATGTAAATATCAGATTTGTATGCTACATACATATCCTCTGTTGCCACTGTCCATTCCTTGTCCATACAACAAGACATTAATAAGGACATCTTTATTACGAACACATTTGTTCGGAAAAACGAATCTAACACCGCCCTGACAATCAAGGCCTCTACGATTAACGGATCAGAAAGTATCATATCAGTATATTCGTAAGAAGAGGTAAAAAAGAACTGATATGTTGATATATGCATCTCTCTGGGTAACGAAGAACCGGTATTAAAAATACAATTACACACATTTGACAATAAATTTTCTTTTGACCGGCTTCTACAATACAAAACGCAGAAGAGTGTATGACTATTAGTCAGCAGACGTATATATAAGTTCATACTTGTCAATGTAGTCGCAGATTTCCTTGATTCCTGGAAGGTTGCAGATGTCGGCTTTTTCAAGAGAGAGCTGCAATATAGTAATTATTGAGTTTCATTATCGACCGACGTTTCAGATCGTATGTCACTGTAGACCGGACATCGCCCCATACACTGACCCTCACCTGCCTCCCCGACCATTGTCATTTGGATACGGAGTATAGCTAAGCTATGCTTAGTTTCTCGGTCGACAAAGAGCCATAGGTATATTTGGCTAAGACTGGTCTATACATGCATTTTCATGGCGGTTCGTAGCTCACGTAGTGTTGGACCAGACAAACCATTCATTGTTGGAACGAGCAGCGATCCACTCCGTCGGGGTAAGCTGACGCGCTACCCATCAAGCGACCGTGTCTGGTCCTCCCGTCTGTTAAATCGCCTCTCATGACTAACATAGGGCAGGATCAGTGACTTGGTTGACACATGCCATCGTATCCCAGTTGCCTTGATCGATGCGCTCATGCTGTCAACCACTGGGTTTGGGGCTACTGGCTCATTACTTACAAACCTCCCCAGGGGTGGAAATAACTTTAAAATTGCTAGTGTACTCCTGTACAGTGGCACATGTAAAATCACTTGTCCTGCCGTTTTCTTGTTGATCTTTTAAATAAACAACATAATTAACATTGGAATATCAACTGGACACCGGTACAGTGTGATATACAAATTTGCTTGCCCGACAGAAAAAAACACTGGACTCGGGCGTCGGGCAATGGGTTATTTCCGACCCTGCTCCCTTATGTACGGGGAATACTGTAAACTACAGCGTTACACAATAAACAAAAATGGGTGTAATTCTGGGCCGAAATCCCCCCTAATTATGAAATATTCCGGTAATGGTGTCACTTATTACCATAAAATAATCAAAAAGAATTAATTATCACATACATGTGTTCGAGTACCATAATTTAAAAAAGTGGAATTGTTTAGTAACTTATGTTTAGTAAGTGATGTGAGACAGATGACTTACTCCATGCTGTCTCATGACTTCTCGGCGCTTGCGCACACCAAACTCGAACCCGGTCTGAAAAATACAGTAAAAATACCGTTCATTGTCAAACGGCAGTACTGTGTGTGTAGAATATACTATTTCCTTTTTAAAATGTTTATTGGCAGAGAGATAGTCGTTACAGATAGGGCACATACTGGACAGGTATCAGTCAAACAACAGGGGCTACTTACACAAAGCTAGTCTGTCTCAGAGCCCCTGAACCACCTTATTTTCCCTACTGCCTGGCCCTAGTCTAGATTACCCCAGGTCCTGAATCACTGAACTCGATGGGGCTCCTTTTCAATTTAAAAGGGTTTATTTGTTACTATCAAAATTATATATATTCAGGGAGAATCTCCCAACTCAAAGGGTCTCCTTTTCAATTCAAATGGGTTTAATTGTTACTATCACAATTATATATATTCAGGGACTAAGCGGTTTCTGCGCTTCAGTGGTGGGAACTCCTACAATTTATTTCGTCACGCCACAGAACCAAAGGCGACGGCAACTGCTACTTCCGCTGCATCAGTTACAGCCTGACAGGATCCGAAGACAGTCACAGCACTATCCGAGATCGAGTGGTTCACCATATGAACAATGACATTAATGATGAACTAAAACATTTCCTGAACCAAAATGTCAATGAGTACATCACTAATTCCGGGAATTTCACGAGATGGAGTGTGGGCAACAGATGCAGAAGTTATGTCAACAGCCAGTCTGTTAAAATGTGACATTTATATTTACTGTGCAGTTGGTCAGTCAATGCAATGGCTGATGTACCCTGCCAGCTTCAGCTTGAAAACTAACACTGATTATGCTTTGTATCTGGAAAATGTATCGGACCATTTCAATGTTGTAACCAGTGTTTAATTGTGTGAGAAGTACAATAAAATTATAGTAGTATCCTTAATCACTTGTTTTCTGTAGGGGTATAATCTGGGCTAGGGGGGTATACTATGGCCTAGTTCAGAATATACCCCGGGGTATAAACTAGGCTAGACCAGATTATACCGGGGTATAGTCTGGGCTAGCCCAGTTTAACCCCGGGTATAGTCTGGGACAGGGGTATACTCTGGCCTGTTACACCGGGTCCGATAGTTCGATCCCCAGCTGTCTTACCAATACACGTTGGATGTATGTACCTGATACCCTGCATGTTAAGCGTGGGTTTGGTGGGGTAGCCTAGAGGTTAAAGTGTTCGCTCGTCACAGCAAATACCCGGGTTCGGTACCAAATGTGTGAAACCCATTTCTGGTGTCCCCCGCCGTGATATTGCTGGAATATTGCTAAAAGCGGCAAAAACATACTCACTCACTCACTTAAGTTAGTCTTAGTGCTGAGATCACTATATGCAAGTGGGCCCCGGTATTCTTTACAGATTTGAAGTCCAAGTACTTATGGAATTTAGTGTTGAACGCCATATTCACAATACAGTAAAATGCATATATGAATAAAAATAGACTAATGGGTTTTCGCATTGTTTACATGTGTGCGTGTGAGCGCGTGTGTGTGTAGTCTATTTTTATCAAACGGACATGCGAGAACAGTTTATCCGGATTAACGGGGGTTGTAGAACTCTATAAAACAGTGGGAAAGTTTATGTCACTAAAAGGCTAGTTCCTATGATTATTGAATCCTAATGTTGTTACCGATGGTGAGGGGTAAGCCTGACAACGCTGATGGCCCGGTTCGGTGTAGCAGAAGGGGAGGGCGTGGCAGATGGTGTCGGAGTTCTCCTCCTTGGTGATGCTGCAACAGACAACTACCTATAACAACATCGTGTCGTTACATCAGCATCGTCACCAAAAGGTAGATATACATTCAGTTTAATACTTATCAAAGGGAATTCGCATTTTACTTCTCGCAATAGCTGAGAATGTTCTAAATTTACGTAACATATGCTGGGCTGAGTCCCATCCGGGATTCGAACCCACGCCCTCAGTGTCAGGCATCTACTCGCCAGCACACAAAGTCAGCCGCCTAACCCGCTCAGCTACCGCGACTTCCACAAAAATGGAGGTCGGACAACTGGTAGTCTAGACTGCGGGCTTTGTGTACCCCTCTGGTAAGTGTTAATTGGCACGGCTCCCATTGCCCCAAGTACAAGAATCTGTATTTTACTAAGAAATTGTAATCCCAAATATAACATATTTTACATTTGACCACTTTCTAAATGGCATTGTGTAATCATAGTTTTCGGCCGTGGGAGCCGTGCCAATTAACGCTTATCAGAGGGGCGTGGGTTCGAATCCCGGATGGGACTCAGCCCAACAAACTACATTTGTACAAGAAAGTGTAATCCCAAATATAACACGTTGCATTTGACCACTTTCTAAATGGCATTGTGTAATCATAGCTTTCGGCCGTGGGAGCCATGCCAATTAACGTTTATCAGAGGGGCGTGGGTTCGAATCCCGGATGGGACTCAGCCCAAAAAACTACAAGAAAGTGTAAATCCCAAATATAACACGTTACATCTGACCACTTTCTAAATGGCATTGTGTCATCATGTTCTAAGGTTGTTTATAGTCTTTATTTGTGGTGGTGGAGGAGGATGTTTTAGGTTTATTGGGTTTGTTTCGAGTGTCTTTACGTTATGGCGATCTATATCAAACTATTTATGCTAAGGCAGGACACTGGGGGGTAACACGTCCACTTTCAAAAGAGTGGATTCTGGGAAGTTTCAGATCGCTGAACACTTCACTCTTCTTATAACCAATCGTGTTGGACCATACACACCACGTGACCGAAAGCCTTGGAAACTACGATGCCATTGGCTGTGGGAGCAAATCTCAGAGCGTGAGTCGATAGAATACTCGGGGGCTGGACATTAATGATTCAGAATCAAGGGAGACAAGTCAAAAGACATGAATATAGAGCTCAATATCAAATCTAAACATAAGGATAGAAAGACAAGAACTGCATTGGATAATATTCATGGATAGTGTCTTTGTTGTGACACCAACTGTAGAGATCGTCAGGAGAATTGGTAATTTTTCTTTAAAGAACCACTAAACTTTGTTTTGTTACTCTTTTAACCATTACATATGAAAGATTTGTGGTTAGTCTTATGCGGAACACCAAATTTATTCTTTAAAACTTGTGGTTAATTAATACCGAGCGATTAAAAGTGGCCAAAAAGTCGCCTGCTTCCCTCTCGCCCGCCAACGAAACCACAGACAGGTTACGTAACTCTGTCGCCAGAGCACTGCATTGACGTCATATGAGGAACGATTTTCAGTTAGTTGTATAGAAAGTGTGTAGCACGCTCATCATTTTGATGATTTCTCGACATCAACGACGACATGCCGAATCGTTGCTTTGTCGTCAATTGCTCCTAGGGGTCGGGTGATGGTGTCACCATGCACAGATTTCCACAGGACCCCGCAGTTCGTGCTAAATGGGTTATGTTTGTGAGTGCGAAGCGAGCGTTGTGGAAGCCTGAAACGATATCTTACTTGTGTTCAGATCGCTTCACGGAAGTTAAAGAATCAAAACTACTTACTAGTTATAGTAAAATATGTATATGATTGATGACCATAAAGATTTTCCATAACACAACTTGTAACATAACGATTTCTTCCTCGGAAGTGAGGTTGTGGTCGAAGTCACCACAATATTGTAAGTAGTATTATATTGACACCCACCTCGCTGCCAGGAGAGAAATTGTTATGTTATACGCTATGTCATGCAAAATCCTATTGGCCATCAATAAAATACATATTTTACTACCAGTAGAAAGTAGTTTTGATTTTGTAACTCGGTGAAAACAAACCTAAATAGCATTTATCCACAGACTGGCGGATGTTCCCGACAGGGCGTCGCCATTTTTGAAAATCGTAAAGTCTGTTAGAATTAATGAGATTATAGTTTGTTTTCATCAAGTTAGAAAATCAAAACTACTTTCTACTCGTAGTTAAATATGTATTGGAATCATAACCAAAAGGATTTTGCATGACACAACTTATAACATAACGATTTCTTCCACGGAAGCGAGGTGGGGGTCGAAGTCACAATACTGCGCGATAAATTTCTTGCTACATTCACATGGTTAATGTCCACTCACCAGTATGTAGATACTAGTCAATGTGCGTCTTTATATTTGGTCTTATAATCCTAATTAGTTTATTATCATACTTTTATGCATTTTGAAACTAAATAAAAAGCTGACGACCTGCTGATACTTATAGTGAATTTATAACAGAACTGTAATATCTAGACATTTTATAGTTTGCCAATGTGAATCATAATTCGCACACACACCCTAGTGTATGTTGTCTGTCTCATTACACTTCACGGCGAAAACAATGATTCTGTTGAATGCTACGACAAATGAATAAAAACAAAATGCAAATATTAAAATTAAAACAGATTAAAGTTATAGGAACAATATCAGGCCATTACCTTGTTTGAGGAATGTATCCATCAATATCCACAAAACTGTTCCAAATGATGTGTCTTTTTAATTAGTTTAATATACGAAAAGGTGATAAATCTTTTCAGGTATTGGTGTATAGTCTCATTGGTCACCCAAGATAGCACACCTGGCAACTAATTGCATAATGTCCGCCTTTCATTAAAAACAGTAATTTAGTTAGCCAATAATGGGCTATCAATCAATGTATTGCCGGTTAATCCTTTGAAAGAAGGACGTTGTTTTTACGCAGACACCGACACGGCAGAGTGTATTCAGTATAGATTAGTAAATCTACAAACATAAACACTACCTTTTGACCAATCCGCTGTGTAAGATAAAAGTAATTAATCAATCAGCGTGTTATCGGTTAATCCTTTGATCGATGTTTATAATGTTGAATATTTACTCCAGACACAAGAAATGCCAAATGGGAACCTTTGTCGGGTAATCTAAGTGTGTTACCACTAATTATACCTGTTATAAATTCATTAACTGACCATCAAGTGAATTATGACAAATAACATGTGTAGGTTTATACCACCTAACACGGCCTGTCCTCATATCGCCTACATCACCGTTTCGCCTACAGTCTTATCAAAACAACTTTATGCACCATTGCACACCATTTCCTGCCTATGTTACCCATGGAATAATGGACCAGCCTAAGGGATAAGAAAAACAAACAAATGTATGTGATTCACATTACTTTAATACATTAATAACTTTGATTTTAAATTAAAAAAATAAAGCACTTCATTGTCATCAGGAGCACACAGAGTTATGAGTTTGATTGAATTGAGTTCTCAGTTTAGCTTGAGGATGTGGCCAAGCAGCATCAAGGAACTGCATCACAGACTTCACACCGGTGGAAAGCTGCACCTTGAGTCTCTCGATCCTCTGATCTCGATCACGGTCTACACGTGCTCGTGGTCTCCTTGCTCCTCAAGTCCAAACTGTCGTCTTGTGCGCCTGTCTGCCTTCTCTCTCGATCTTCTTGAGCTCCTTTACGAATTGGTAGATGTTGGGGTGTGATCGGGGTATGCGTTTCTTCAAGCCAGAGTGGAATCCCTCAAGATGGTTGTTTGAGCGCGGGCCTGTGTTTTCGTGCTGGTTCCAGATGTGTGCTTGTTGGGAACTTGGCATCATCTTCAACCCAGGTGCTGGTGACGTAGTCGTTGAAGGCTGCTACTCTGTCGCCGTCGGGGAGACTGCTCGATGACTTCAAACCAAGCATCTTGGACCTGGTTCCAGGAAGGAGTGGCAAAGCAGCTGCTCGTCGAACGTGGGCCCGGACTGCTGGGTTGTTCATGTAGTCGCGAGACAGTCCCCTCTCAAAACTTGACGCCACAAAGCTTGAGAATAATGGAATAGGCAACCTCGGACGGAACTGTCGGGGAAGACTTCACTAATAGCACTGATAACTGCTGCTTCATAGTCGATCTGGAATATTTCTGGTGAAAGTTCGATGCCAAGTCGTCTCACAACAATATCCTTCAGCAAAAGTGAAAAGCCTAACATACGTCCGCTTGGTCTTGTTGGGAAGCAACGCAAAAGCGACAGGAAACATTTTACCATTCACCAGACAATAGATGATGTACACTTGTAGCCACAGGTTAGGACACACAAAGAATGTACCATCCATAAAGAGAATGTCAGCGTCGCTCACTAATTCCAGCATCTCGGTTGTAGCAAACAGCAAAAGTCTGTCATCTTCACCGTCGTCTACAGAGGAACTCTCGGCCATCATCGGTCTGGGTCCATATTTCCTTCTAGAGTGACGCCAGCCCTGCTCTCAGGCAGTGGTGGGATGGACTTGGCTCTGTGTCTGTACAGTGCGGCCTGAATATTAGAGTACGTGGGTGCAGTTGCGGCATCATCTTCATCAAGGAGGTCGAGCTCGTTGTTGTAGATCTGCAGCACCGGTGAGATGTCAGTCTTTACACCTCTTTTACACGGGCGACGGAGTCGGATGTGTTCTCCATTCTCAAAGGGTGGGTGGCTGTGAATAGTGGAGGACACTACGTGGTCTCCGATGGTGCTGCTGCGACCATTGCATCCTGTGAGGACACACTTCCAGTGTGTAGCAACCTGTCGCTTGACATTGAGCCTGTACCGGTAGCCTGCATACAGTAACTGCTGTCCACCTCTCTGTGAAGTCACGAACTCAGCTCTCTGGAGATTTGCCATTTTGATACCGACTAAAGATCAGTGGCATGTATATATACTTTGAGAAAATTATGTTGAGATGACCCCTCATTGCAACCACAACAGACCTAATTATAATCTTTTTACTTTTATAAGATAAATCTTTTGAAGTATTAATTCTAATCAAAACAATGGGATTATCTCACACCGGGGGTAAGCATAACCCCCTTCACTAATATCCTTCACTGTATGCTTAAAACAAATCATGTATCAATAGTAACTTCTCAATAGTCTTCTCTCCCATTTAGTTGCATTCGATGAAACTACAGTGGAATAGGGCCATTCCATTCCCTGAACAGGGTAGATGGGATTTGACAGGATGTTTATATAAGCTGTAGGCGAAATAGTGGTGTAGGCGATATGAGGTCAAACCCCTAACACGGGTTACAACAAGGGAGTATTAATTGCTGTATTGCATGTGAAAACTTATGGGCCGACACTGTTTTGAGAATACAAACAGATTTTACATGACATGATTAAATATCGAGGTAAAAAACACAGAAATGGGATCAATTTGGATCAGTCATTATACAAATAGGGCCTAACGACACCAATCAATTGTGACAGAAGCGTCTATGAAAACAAGTTGTAACTCGGAAACTAGGCAAAGCAGGAGACAAAATTAAATGCCAGTAGATTGTGAGAACATATAGCTTTCATTTTCCACAACAATTGTCACGATTTCAGGTTTATACAAGCCTGTAAACAAGATAATTTACCCCCTAAAATGTAGATGAATTCTGCATCGGCCCTAAAAGTTATTCCTCATATGACGTCACAGAGTCGCGCCGCTCTGATTGGTTGAAATTTCGTTCGCGGGTGAGAATTGTGCACTGTTGTCAAAAAGGTCGATTTAAGTCAATTAAAGGTCGAAATGAGTAGTTTAATGACGGGGTTTCATTTATAACGATGCCAGTTAGTGATTTATGTATTTTTACCCCTAGGGTTTATGTGACCTTTAAGTATTCAAGCACACCTTTGTTGTTCAAACGAAAACCACTATCCCTTTCAAAAGAATTCACTGTAATTTATAAAAATATTGATTCGTATACTTCATTAATATCATATTAATTTGTATAAGTTTGCGCATGCTCATACTTCCCACTGCACATGCGCAGACAGCAGTGGCTACAACTTACATTTCAGGTAGAATGGGTCCAACGAAGCCGGCGAAGGCTTTGCAAGCATTCTGGAAGTTAGTGGGCAGGAAGGAACACAGTCGGTCTAGTGCCTGTACCGTCGTCTCATTGTAGATCTCCGAGAGCTGTTCCACCAAGGAGATCACAACCGTGCAGGCTGTAAAGGGAGACAACTCGCGGCTAAAGGGTTTCGTGTCTGATATTGTGGTACGAAAGACTGACTGAGTTTGGTTTTACGCCGCTTTTAGCAATATTCCAGCAACATCACGGCGGGGGACACCAGAAATGGGCTTCACACATTGTGCCCATGTGGGGATTCGAACCCGGGTCTTCGGCGTGACAGGCCAACGCTTTAACCATTAGGCTACCCCACCGCCCCTGATATTGTGGTACGAAAGAGTTGTTCATCAAACATGGCTGTGGTGTAGTGGATAGAGTGTTAGCCTGAGAGAGGAAGGTGGTTGGATCCCAGGTTGAGTCATACTAAAATATGCTAGATGATGGGACTTCTTGTTGTACTGCTTGGTGCTCCTGATATTCGGGAGAGAAAAGCAAGCTTCGATAATATTCCAGTTATGTGGCGGCGGTCTGTAAATAATCGAGTCTGGACCAGACAATCCAGTGATCAACAGCATGAGCATCGATCTACACAATTGGGATACGATGACATGTGTAAACCAAGTCAGCGAGCCTGACCATCCGATCCCATTAGTCGCCTCTCACAACAAACATGGGTTACTGAAGATCATTCCTAACCCGGAACTTCACGGGTCTATTCATCGAAACAGGTGGAGAGTAGTGTAGCAAAGGTAAAGAACTACTCCTCTACAGGACATTGTTTTAAGGACAGTTTTATGTGAAAGATTTTAAAGAAACGGACTTACGTTGTCTTGTATTTTCTATTACGGGATACATAACAGATGATCAGAAAATATACATTGTAGCATTGTAGTGAGTTTAGTTTTACACCGCTTCTAGTAATAGTCCAGAAATATCACGGCGGAGGACACCAGAAATGGGCTTCACACGTTGTATCTATGTGGGAAATCGAACCCGGGTCTTCGGCGTGACGAGCGAACACTTTAACCACTAGGTCACGCCACATCCACATGCACACAAGGCTACGTCATTGAGGAAGAGAAGTTAGGGATTTGTTTCCATGATGACGTAAAACGCGAAAGGAATATATACATAATGGGTCACATAATGCTGATATTGTTCCACGCGAACAGGTATGACTTGACTATCCTCATGGAAATCCGTTCATATTCACGTGATTATATGAGAAATGACGTACAGGAATAGAAAACAAAAGATTCATGTTTGCGATTCAAAATTATGATTCCTTGTCGGGAGTTGTGGAGTCCTCCATCCGCCTTGAAAGTCTTAGTCAAACTGCAGGGTTTCAAATATCTATAAACGGAAATGTTTTTGTTTTTTTGTCTTTTTACTTCATATATGTGGTATATATGAGTGAAGCCCAATTCTAGTGTCCCCGCCGTGATATTGCATTGCTAAAAGCGGCGTAAAACCATACTCACCCTTACTTTCCAAATATGTTTGGAGAATACAACTGTTCTGGATCAGGAACAGGCAAAGGTTATTGGGTTATCAACTGTCTCAAATAAGATATCAGTGTTTATCTTTATGAAACGAAGACACAGTTTGTGGTTATTCCGTATCTGGCCTACAGTATTGTCTGTACCTTGTCCTGTTTGTTAATCATTATCAGTGCGATGATGATACTCATTTCTCGTTAAAGTCTGCCAGGGGCAATATTAGTCTTCTTATGTATTTAATTAGGAAATATATATTTTTTCTGAATAAAATAAAATCGATTTATCTCAAAAGTGAGTGAGTGAGTTTAGTTTTACGCCGCACTCAGCAATATTCCAGCTATATGGCGGCGGTCTGTAAATAATCGAGTCTAGACCAGACAATCCAGTGATCATAAGCATGAGCATCGACCTGCGCAATTGGGAACCGATGACATGTGTCAACCAAGTCAGCGAGCCCGACCACCCGATCCCGTTAGTCGCCTCTTACGACAAGCATGGGTTACTGAAGGTTCATTCTAACCCGGACCTTCACGGGTGATCTCAAAAGTGATACAACGCTTTTAACCGGAATTCACTTTCATGCTGACTTGCCCTTAAGTTTCCGTGTTTAGAATACGATCGTGCAAGTATATACTACTGAAAAAATATAAACGTTTGTTTTTTCTTGAAATACATATCAAATCCTCATTTTTTTTCCTAGTTTAACGAAGGACATCTACTCCTTTCTAAATGAGAAGGTTAGAGCTTAAAATGCCAAAGTCGTAGGTGGATTCACCGCGTGTGGTGCAGTGTGTTATTAATATTGCTGAAAACCAGTTTAAGCCCTACCCAAGCACTTTCTCAAAAGGGCGATGGGGTAGCCTAGTGGTTGAAGCGTTCGCTAATTAAACTCACTCACTCTCTCAAATGAGCCTAAAACATCAGATTGAATTAGTGAGTGTCAGTGAGTGAGTTGGGTTTTTCGCCGCTTTAGCAATATTCCAGCAATATCACGGCGGGGGGACTCCAGAAATGGGTTTCACACATTGTACCCATGTGGGGAATCGAACCCAGGTCTCCGGGGTGACGAGCGAACGCTTTAACCACTAGGCTACCCCACGGCCCCAAATGCAGTGAAACCACTTAGGTTCGAAAACCTAATTACTGTCAGAAAGGTCTTTACACACAAATAACTCGTGATTCGTTAATCCGAACACTTTCTAAACCGGGAGGTATTATTGTGAACCTTTCTGTCCGGAATATTGAGGGTTCATTTTCTCATTAATAACACCATAAAGATGAGGAATGTAAAGTAGTAGACTGTTTTACCTGCACAGTTAGACCCGCCGTTGATGGCCCGATATCCCGACCCCCGAGACCCTGAGGCCGCGCCCCCCGACAGACAGCACAGTACTCCCAGGACGATGACACACAGCGTCAGCTCTCGACCCATGTTGGCAGTGTTCTGTCCGATACTACCGCCATGGATGGTGATATAGACAGTCCAGTACCGGGTCATATGATAGATAACACGACGGGTTGGGTGAGCTGGGTGATTGTGAATCCTGATAATCCTTTTGAACAGGATATTGGGTTTTCCACCTACTTGGGTGACGTGTACGTACGTGCATCGCCGAATTCAGTGCCAAAATAAGAACGAGGAAGTTAAAAACGGAAGCCGCATGACTCGTCACTGCATAGCGTTTATTCACACTGCGGACACGGTCTGTTAGTTCCGGGGTTAACTGGTGTCGACACTAAAATGCGCAATTGTCCGAGTACGCCTGACTAATTCAGCAAAATTTGTTTTAAGCCGGGGAACGAAAGTGCAATGAAAGACAGTGTAGCATAATGATAATAAGGCCACTTATATAGCGCTAAACTCCACACCGTCCCGGCATGCTCTAAGCGCATACAACACGATGGACAGTATTATACCTGATAACCCAAGCTGCCTGTGAGGCTCGAGAAGGTTAATAGTCAGTTAATGACTTATCCTACCGAGTACCCAATACCATACCCATATTATGTTTGGTAAACAAAGACAATTTTGAACAAACTCACTAGCCTTTGGTGAGACCACATGTATCATGTATCATGTATGCTGCGTTGTGGGGCAGGACTGATGTCCTAGAAACTCGGGAGTCAAGCTGCCAAACACGGTCACCCATCCCAGGACTCTCCGCGTCCAACGTTGTTTCACTTCAACGGATTTGTGACCTTGACTCTAAGCTCAAGACCACACACCACCATAACATCGCAGCCGTGCCCTGCAATAAACCCTACAGGGTGAATTACGATTGTTTTACGCCGCTCCAAGTAATATCCCATCACGTCTGGGGACTCAAGAAATGGGATTCATCCTTGAAATCCATTTGGGGACCGAACTCGGGCCTTCAGCGTGTCGAACGAACGCTTAAAGAGATAGGGTATCCGCTGGTCTTTTGTCCAAAGAAACCAGTGGTTAATAACTGCATTAATCATACAGGGTTCCAAACAGTACCTGGAAGGGGAATCAAACCCATGTCTAACACATTACGAGAGAGTGAGTTTGGTTTTACGCCGCTTTTAGCAATATTCCAGCACGGCGGGGGACACCAGAAATGGGCTTCACACATTGTAACCATGTGTGGATTCGAACCCGGGTCTTCGGAGTGACGAGGGGACGCTTTAACCACTAGGCCACCCCACCGCCCCTAACACATTACGAGCAAATACCCCCACACGTGTGCTACTCGTCTCTACCATTATCAGTAGAATTGTCTATATTCAAAGGAAGATTTGGAAGCATGGTGTACCCGACGTGATATTGCTGGCAAATTGCCATCTTACACTTATCCCTCACTCTCAAAAGATAAGGAAAATCATAGTGATGATGTAGTCCTTGCCTTGTGAACGATGACTCCCGACAAACAAACAGGCGACTAACGGAATCAGGAGGTCAGGCCAGTTGACTTGGTTGACACATGTCACCGGTTCCCAATTACGTAGATCGATGCTCATGCTGTTGATCACTGGATTGTCTGGTCCAGACTCGATTATTTACAGACCGCCGCCATATAGCTGGAATATTGCTGAGTGCGGCGTAAAACAACAAATAAACAACAATGAAGTCTTTACTTCAAACGAGTGTCCGTGACGGTGTTTTTGTTCTTTACGCCGGACTCTGCAATGTTCCAGCTATATTGCGAAGAAGTCTGTACAAAATCGCGTCTGGAACAGACAATCCAGTGATTGACACCATGAACATATAACTACATAAATGGAATACAATTAAACCAAATCAGCGAGCCTAACCACCAATCCTGTCAGTCGTCTCAGTCTTTCTCAGTAACATTTGATGATGCATGTGTTGGTCAAATAAAGTTCAAATATAAGTAAATAAATAAAGAGTACTGGTTATTTATTACTGACCATTATAAAAAGCCGATCACCCCAGTGGTCTAGTGGATAAGAGCGTCTACCGAGCGAGCGGAATGTCGGTGCATGGTTCTATCCCCAGCTGTCTTATCAAAAGACGTTAGATGTATGTACCTGTTACCCTACGTGTTAGGAGTTGGTTTGGTGGGGTAGCCTAGAGGTTAAAGTGTTTGCTCGTCACGCCGAAGACCCAGGTTCGATTCCTACATGGGTACAATGTGTGAAACTCATTTCTGGTGTCGTCGTATGTGACATTGAGGAGATATTGAAAAAGCGGCGTAAAGCCCATTGTCACGTACGTGGGAAGATATGACTTGAGTAACCTCTGTGGGAAGAGAATGCGTAAAGCATTACTCACTGTTATGCGCTCGATATTATAAAATAAAACAAGATCATCTGGTCGCTTTGGGGTCACTATACTGTGTGAGAGTAGGGCACTATAGTCTGTTTGCAGTGAAAACGTACCGGTGAATTGCACTTCAAACAAAAATGTAAATCGAATATAGTGAAATTAAGATTGCGAATCCTCATAATTCTACCTTGCCAATTGAACATTTAAATCTTAGATTTTATTCCACTTAGGAAAAAAGTTGTTTAACAAACGATCATAGTTTCAAATCGCTTATATTGGTTTGTATTACAAGGGGGTAAGCGCAGTAGTTGGAACAGTGAAACAAATGCACGTGCGGTACGTGATGAGCGTCAACTTAGACCAACCCTCCTTGTTCTCGGTGTTTCATTTAATGTGCATACCCCCTTGTAATACAAACCAATAATACCGATTTGAACCTTGATCGTTTGTTAAACAACTTTTATCCTAAGTTGAATAAAATTCTGAGATTTAAATTTTCAAATGGCAAGGTAAAATTATGAGGATTCGCAATCTTCATTTCACTTTATTTGATTTACATTTTTGTTTAAAGTGAAATTCATCGGTACGTTTTCACCGCAAACAGACTATAGTGACTAGTAAACCTTATCTGATTAGGGCATCAGTGTTACACTGCTGCATTGTCTTAGCCGGCCATTGGCGGTGGCGTTGTCTAGTGGTTAAAGCGTTTGCCGGGTTCGATTCCACACATAGGTACAATGGGTGAAGCCCATGTCCTCGTGATATTGCTGGAATATTGCTAAAAACGGCGTAAAACCATACTATACTCACTTAAAATAGGCAACAGAGGTTTACTGGGTTTGTCACACTCACTAAAGAAAAAGAAGTTGTTATCTTAAATCTACAAAATTTGTCATTATTGCATATTCCAACTTCAAAAGTGTCGCTCAAAACGTTCTTCAACAGTTCGTAAGAAATGGTCCGTGGCTTGATTATTTTGTATAAAACAGATTGGTTCAATGAAGATTATTGTAAGCGATGAATTTGCCCTAGAAATCCTTCCTCGACCCCATTCTCTACCAAACATATAGCCCATCTACACCCAATTGTGGAGTAACAATAGCAACATAAAATAATCCCTTTAATCTTCAATTGGAATGAAATGCTCTGATTTTGTTTACAAATTAAATAAACGTCCTGTCACGTGATACGCAAAAGGCTTGTTTACGCTCAGTGACGTAATGCTTCATGCTCGAGCGGACCTCCCCGAAAGTAATGATCCCGATATCCATGGCTAGAATGTGTAATATTATGTAATAATCAACACCTGTGCCCTGAACTAGGATAATTAGAGCATCATTGGGCTTCCGGGCGCATGTGTTCATTGTTATACGATATATACACAATAGGAACAAAATACTTCATTTCTAGTCTAATTCTTGAAAATTAAAAGTGCTTGATTCAGAAAACTGATAAACAGTTAATTTGATGAATTGTGATCGGAGTCCTCCGTATGCGAATACAGGTGTTCTTTTATTTCGGTCGCCAAAATTATCAACAACCGGGTATCGTTACTTATGTCAGGAATATGTCACACTTGACAACATTCACAAATATGCGTTCTCGGTGTCGGAAGAGATCGTCTTGGCATAATGTCGTTTTGTCACAAAGGCGGATGTTAGAACAAAACCGGCTTTAAATAGATGTTATGCATTAGTAAAATATATTTTTCTGCTGACGCGTTTTGCAGCTTCTCTCAATCCAACCAAAACTTTTGGATACATAACATAATAACTTCCTGATGTAGGCTCACTTAATTGTGTGCAGCGAACCAGAAACGATATTTAAAAATGAACGAGTGCGGGTATAAAATCTGATTGTCAGGTTAATTTAGTTTTAAACACATCAATCAACTGCAACAGGTTAAAGAATTCGTTGTCTGTAGGGCCAATTGAGTTTGCATGCACAACCTTAGCAGTAAATCTCCGCCGTGTTTTTAAATTGGTTATTTGATTTATTTCCATGTACTTGTACGTGCTTAGTTTCTTATATACTCGCCCATCTGTCAAATGCCTGGGGTACTTTGAATATCTCAAGTCACGTGGATTTGTTATTATATATGTTATTATGAACGTTTAAAGTTTTCTCGGTTTTGATTGGGTAAGCATTGCTTTGGACGGCCCGGCACGTCCAATGAGATTTGAAACTTTCGCAACTCGTTCCGGATTGTGTGTGGTTCCGGTTTGACTCATCGCGAGACTGCACGAGATAGAACGTGACTTTAACCGCCAATTTCAAAATCAAGCTGGGAAGCTGAAAGTCCGTGCTTCTTGTTCTAAAGTGATCGGGACGCTGATGTTTACAAACAAAAGACAATGGATCCCTACACTGAGGTAAGTTATTCACGTGCATGCATCTCAGCTCATGCAATCACGCAGGCACACGTAAGCTCGAGACAAATGGAACTTCAAACTTTGTGGCGACGATCATTTTTGCGTCTGGGGCACACCAAAATACCATGACCATCTTTTGAGAGTTTACTTGCTTGCAGCCCGGGCGGCTTTGCATTGCTGGATATATTTGTAGACTGTGATCTCATCATTATGCCCTGGAAAAATTGTGCCAGTGTGCTTCGCAAGATTCTGAACTGAATTAAGAAGTCTGATTTTGAATCAACACGACCAGGATAAGTGAAAAGGCTCAAGAATCCTAAAACAAAATCCAGGACATCGTGATTATTCCTTCTTGCTGACTTGCTTTTGTTTAAATATCAAGGCAGAAATTCCCTCTTCAAAAGCTGGCCAGTAATGAGGGATAAGCCCGAAGGCATGTAGACAAATCTAACTGTCAATTTGAAAGTAGACCATCTGTTCAAATAGCCAGTTTTGTTTGCAATGCATTGATTAAAATCTACGAATCATGGAAGAAATGCAATGTCAGACAAGTTTTGACACTGATGTTGAAATAGACATCAAAGTAACTGTGATTGATGGTGATGACAGGAGAGATGGGGACTTGATGGTAAGTGGTCATGTGACACAGCAGTCTCTGAAAACCTGTTTCTTCTCCTTCATATTGATCCACTCCAAGTATTTGTAGTACTAGTAGATACCCAAATCATCAGTGTGCACCTTTCGTTAGTTCATGAAGTTAGGTATTTACTTGTACAAGTTTGATTAAAACTGACACAATGACAGACACTGAGTTTCTTGTGTTAGTTAATGTGTTTTATGTTGAGATATTGCTGTAGCAGTTATGCTAATATTCATAGGCAGATCCAGAGAGGGGTGCAGGACTGCACACCCACACCCTTTGTCCTGAAAGTTTATTAAATGACCAATGAAACGGCGTGAAAATGAAGTGTGCACCCCTCCTTTCTCAAAAGTGTGCAACCCCCACCCCTTCTCAAAAAGCTGTATCCGCCCTGATATTTAACTATATGCAACCATCAAAATTTCAATATTTACTCATGCTGGATTAAAAAGTACAGGAGTTGATACAGTTGTCTATCTAACAACTGCTGCATATATCTCTTCCTCAATATTTTTACTAGTCCTTGAGTCCTATGGCCATGTTTCAAAAGCGCCATGGTACATTACTACTTTCTACATGGTAAAATATGGCCTCAAAATTATTTGTGTTTCAAACAAATTGAATAAACAACATGGAAAGGTTGTAAGTAAAAGTAGCATGTGTTAACCTGTATTGAGTACATTTGGTGACAGTGTCTAAATATCAAAATGTTCCTATGTAAGTAATCAAACTTCTGAAATTTAACTGACTCTCAAATGTCACAATTTCCTCTACGGAAACTACATGCACTTATCAGTATTACAAGTATTACCTGATATTGAAACAGGTGCTAATTGTATTATAATCTTACATATAAACCGCCTCTGTAATGTAGCAGTTAGAGCATAGAGCATGCAGAGGAGAGCGGAAGGTCACGGGCTCAATCCCCAGCCACGTCATACCAAAAGACGTTAAAATAGGTTACTTGTTGGTCCCTACCTGGTGCTCAGCATTAATGGGTACAACAAGGACTGGTCGGTTCGAGTCAGCATAATGTGTCTGAGTGGGGTATTCATGCTTAACTGCAGCATGATATCTCAGTGAGCTAGCTAGCACTATTTATATAAAACTAGTACAAGCAGCCACACATACTTCCATGCATGCACATAGTTATGTGAGCAAAATATTCTATGTATGACATTAAACGATCATTTCACCTCATCCTCTTTACATATAGCAACAAAATCCATCATATTTGCCATTGTATTGTATCACAAAACTGATAAATGAAACATAGTTTGTCACTCAACTTTCCAACAAGGACATTTGACATTTTAACCACGACCCAGTTGCACATACAACTGCAATACATACTAACCATGGGTGGAAATAACTTTAAAATTGCTAGTGTATGAATCGGTACAGTGGTACATGTAAAATCACATTTATTGAGAATTTACCCTGATAATTTTTCCACTATACTAAATGCAAATTTTTCATAAATTGTTGATTTTTTGCAAATAAACAACATAATTATATATTGAAAGTCAACTGGACACCGTACAGTGTGATATCTAAATTTGCTTCACCTCACCTCTTACATACAGCAAAAAACACTGGACATTATCGACATCGGGCAATGGGTTATTTCCACCAAAGGAAATAAATTTTTAACCACAGCCTCCAGTTGGACTAACATGCCAAAAGGAACTCAAAAGTAAACCATATATGAAGTAGTAGCATAGATTATAGAAGTAGAGATTACAAACATGATAGTGTGAAATCACACAATTAATTTCAACTTTTTGTAAACATGCATAACAATTTATATGACATTTATTGGTAATATTTATCAGTCTGATCCCAAAGTAGATGTCATATGCTTTTAAGAAACCTTTAGATTAAACAGGTATTCTGAATGTACTAGATGAAAAATATTGTTTGATAGTTTGGTGTATCATGCATGTTGCATCTATCAATTATAATATCCTGTTAATTAAAATGTGAGATATGATACATGAGATTTACATTGATCTGTCGATGATGGATAGGAGGCAGTCAAGGTATAAATGCTGAATCCTAGACATGTTTTGTAAGAGTGATGATCTTGTCTTTGTGAGACGGAAGTTCTGGTTGTCTTAATCCTGATTAAACAAGATTCAGTATCCAATCTGTACATGTTACGCCAATGTAGCATCACACTTATCATAACCTTTCAAAGGTAACCAACCCATGAATGTCCAGGTTAGAACTGATGTTCAGTAACCAATGCTTGTCGCTAGAGGCTTACTCAACAGGATCAGGTGGTCAGACTCGGCTGGCTTGGTTGACACAATTGTCAATATTGTCATCGGATCCAAATTGTCCAGATCCATGCTCATGCTGTTGATCACTGGATTGTCTGGCCCAGACTTGATTATTTCCAGACCGCTGCCATATAGCTGTAATATTGCTGAGTGCGGCATAAAACTAAACTCACTCACTCATTCAAAGGTAACCTGTGAACATGGACATTTGTATTCATTTTAGTGTTGATATTTTTAAGAAACACCTTTGTATATGATCAAACAGCATTTCCATATAACAAGATAGCAGGGTATGAATAACTGGAGTGTATTAAACCTGATAGCGTGTATAATTACATCCCCACAAATGTACTAGGCCCATGCACAAACAGATGAAGGTTCATCTCATCACCTTTTGTGAACGCAGTCAACATTGATCAGTGGTTGCTTGACAGTCAGAAATCATGGTACAATAATCTCCCTGTTTGACAGAAACTGATAGAGAGGACCCGAATCAACGGAGGAGATGCTGAATCAGAAGCTTGGCAAGACACCTGACCCGCCTCAGAAAGCCGAACACCACTTGGAGAGGACACAACAGAAAATATCATAGAAGATCAACAGCAGAATGATGGTATGGAACCGCAACCTTAAATCTTCATATCTATAAGTACCACTAGGGACTAGCGTAAACATTCTTCCTCAAAGGTTTGTTGCTTGTCCTTGAACAAGACTGAAATTTACATGAAGCAGAAATGTACATCCAGTACAAACAATGTATAGAATAATTTAAAAGATTTCCACCTGTAACACCCTTTGCATAAGAACAGATGCATTTTTTTATCATGTTTATAAAAAGCCTACCCTAAAAGGCTAAACCTAACATAGTGCTAAATCTTAACCCAAACCCCTAGAAATAATCATATTATATAGAGTACATTTCCAACTCTTACTTACCAATAATTGCAGAAACAATTCATATGGTGTACCAAGTGGTTAAAGCTTTCACTCTTCACACCAATGACCAGATTCGATTTCCAATGTGGGTAGAATGAGTGAAGCCCATTTCTGTCAAATTCTGGTGTCCCCTGCCATGATATTTGCAGGAATATTGCTAAAAGCTTGCATAAAACTAAACTCACTCACCTGAGGGACACACATAATGATATTCACTGTACCAAATTCTCAACAAAATGTAAAGTATGTGTGATTATAATCATTGTATCTTCGACACTGCCACCATGACTTTACATCACCCTCATGTTTCCTTAGGACTCCATTTCCATGACGTTTACATGACCTCACCTCATGTATACCTAAAACAAGACACTTTTGAACTATTTGTGGGATGTGTAAGTTTTTCTTCAAGTTCAGCATGTTCAGTGTTCTTTATAGTTACATGGTGGTTGGAATGAGGTGTTTGAGCCAAATTAAATACTTTCTAAAGATAATTACAAGGAAAACAAACGACGATTCGCCGCATATTCCGTGAATCAAACCGTAGAGTTCCCTTCATGAATTCAATTCAATTAAGCTATAACGCTACTTTCAGGTCACCAGAACTGAATATTACGGTTTACGCTCGGATTAGAATATTTCACGATTTTTTAAAGGAGCATGTTTTACTTGAACACGTGTGTACTTTTTGAAAGTAAGATATGCAAGAATGGAATATGTACTAGCCTTGCAGTAGCGCATTTTAAAGTCATGTTAGTTTGCCAAGACTGCACATGGTACTGTCAACTATAACTATTACATACCAAATTTGAGTGTCATGCGAGATCACCGCAGGTTATTGCTGTGACAAATTAACACTGTCAACATGGGTGTTCCATATTGCACATCAATCACTTCAACTACAATTATTAAGTGAATAATTATTGTCTGATTATGTAATTTTTACCCATTATTCATGATAACGGATCATATTCACCAGCATGTTCAGTGTTCTTTATATTTGTTGGAATGAGGTGTTTGAGCCAGTAAATACCCTTCAATATTTGTACACTTTGCACTTGAGATCATCTGTGCTAATTGAATTAGTACACTCACTAAATATTTGACTTGTTACACAACGGTTATGACAGAGACCCCCAAATGTTTATGCCTAATTTTATGCCCACCACTGAACATCATGGGAAAGTAATGTGTAACTGTTATTCAGAAACATTTTTTTGTCATTATTGCACTTGTGGTTTTGTCAGATTCCCCTAAGCGTCAGTGCTTACGTGAGAGTGAGAGAGAAGCAAAGGAGGACACCCCAGCCATCACCGGCGTGCGTTCACGACTGCAACAGCTGTCTCACCAGAGAGAAGAATGGTCCGACACTGCCGATACAGGTATGTCAAGATCCGAGTCTTCAAAAACCCATGCTGGGAGGCTACTAACGGGAATGGGTGGTCGGGTTCGCTGACTTGGATGACACATGTCATTGTATCCCGATGGTAGATCGATGCTCTTGCTCTTGATCACTGAATTTTGTGGTCCAGAGTTGATAATAGGGTTGGGAAGTGGTTAAAATCTCATTTATGATATTTTCCTGGTTATTTTGTTAATGAAAATTCATAAAGAAAAAACATGTAGTTCTTTGTTTATTTTGTTTTGCAAATTGAAACAAAATGCATTTGTAAAATTTTTTGCACGTCTTTAAAGGATGACTAGTATGTTCGGAACATAAACTTCTTGAAGTCTTTAAGATAAATTCAATCATAACAGGAACGAGCTTGTAGTGATTATGAAATGTAAATTTAATGACAGACAAAACCAGCCTTGTGAAAAATATTATTAATGCAAACAAATGTTCCAGAATTGTTTGTGTTCGATTATGAGAAAACATGATCGATTGCTTGGTCATTTAATCACTGCGACCAATCTTCGATTATTTCAATTAATCGGACCACCACTAGTTGATAATGTACAGATATAGCTGGAATATTGCTAAGAGTGATGTTAAAAACAACCAAAACTAAAGGTGGGTCAGAGCTAACTATCAAAGGGAGAGGGGGTGGCTCAATAGTGTTTATTCTGCAACCTTCTACTGATAAACGTTTTATGTATTGTACCAGTGGGCATTCCAACTAGAAATTAGGGGGCCGTAACATTTTGTACTGCTAAAAGTTTGAAACAGTCCTGTTTGTTAATCCATCTAAACGGGCGGTGGGGTAGCCTAGTGGTTAAAGCGTTGGCTCGTCACGCCGAAGACCCGGGTTCGAATCCCTACATGGGTACAATGTGTGAAGCCCATTTCTGGTGTCCCCCGCCGTGATGTTGCTGGAATATTGCTAAAAGCGGCGTAAAACCAAAACTCAGTCAGTCAGTAATCCATCTAAACAATTCCCATACCCTGATGCTATCCATTTGTGCAGCAAGCCCGGTACCTGTGCCGAGGAAAAGTCTAAGCAACTGCCTGGATGATGAGAACACCCCAAGCCAGCAACCTCCACCATCACGCCGCGGTCGACTGGCTGCTCTGGCACAGAACATCAACAACTGGGAGGACGATCTCAGTCAACCAAAGATACAGTAAGTATAAAGATGTATCATCATGATGGCCTGATTATTTTGCACATAAGTTGGGGAAGACGAGGGCAAATTTGTTAAGGATATCAACTTTCATTGCCTTTCATGTATATATTTCTAAGGTTTCGGTGGTTACTTCTTGCCACCTCATTGGGTGAATGATGCTGTTGAAGTGGAGTTGTTCATCATAATGTGAAGCATATTTCTTCAGCTTATCTGTTGCTTCTTGGATTGTAAAAACAGATGGAGTAGCATAGTGGTTAATGCATTAACTCGTGACTTCAAAAACCCAGATTCCATTCTCCACCTGGGTACAATGTTTGAAGACCATTCTGGTGTCCCCTGCCATGATACTGCTGGAGTATTGATAAAAACAACGCAAAAGTAAACTCTCTCACTCAATGGATTGTAAAATATGTGAGGGAGACGTCCATGTGTATGAGGCGCTTTGGTATTTGACTTTGATAGCTTTCTTCTGCGAGATATATGATATATCTGGGTTCTGTAATATAGCTATTGCATATTTACTGATACAGAGATGTCTCTGTACATTTGCAGAAAAGAAGAAGAGAAGAAACCAAGATGGCAGCCCCCAAGGGCACCATCAGAAGATAGAAGCAAGTCCCATGCCGCTCCATGTCCCCCTACTGGGGTACAGAACTCCCCCAAGAAGTACCGTGCACCCCCGCCCCCCACCACTGTCCAGCCCGAGGTTGCCAAGGTATCCCCTGTGAAGCAGCTTCGCCATGCCCCAGCCTCACCGGTCAAGTCCAAGCTGACCTTCGGTAACCTGTCCGGCAGTAGTATATCCACACAGTCCCCATCAAGAAGGGTTGAGCAGAAACTGTCCTCACCTCTCACCCCACAGGTACGGGTCCCGCCGAAACACGATGACAGATGCCTCCCTGCACAGATCCCGGTTAATGTCCGAGGACTGAATGAATCTGATGGGGAAAGGACCGACGAAGAACCAACTACCAAACCGGTATCGGAGAGGTTCAACTCCTGGGCCAAGAAAACCACTTGTGAGACACCGAAAGCCAGCAAGCCTGTAGACCCAACTCAGACACCTGTGTCGGCTAGAATGGCTAACTGGGAAAAGAAGGTAAATCAGACACCAGCTGCCACTCCCACAGTCACAAAAGTTTTACACACTCCTAGACAAATGTGTACCCCAGCCAAGCCCCAAAATGCTCCAAATACAGCAGATAGTAAGGTCATTAACACCCCTCGGCAGATGGGTACCCCAGCTCGGTCCCAGAATGCACCAGCTCGACCTATAAGTACCCCATCAATGGCAGCTGTTGCTAAGAGTTCCCAGCCAACACCAAAGGCGGAGAGACCAGTGAGCATGGTATCTGCGGGTTCTGACGATCCAACTTCCCGTTCGGTATCGGAGAGGATGGCTAAATGGCAAGAACAGACCAAGCCTCCGCCTGTGGAGGAGGAGCCAACAGCATATTCTGTCAATGCTCGTATGTCGGCATGGGAACACATGTCATCGTCGAACCAGGTGAGCTACATCAAGAAGGTGAAGCCAGGTGAACAGCCAGCATCTCCCCAGAGCTCCCCAACCAAACCCCCTCCCCCAGGGTCAGCAACCAAGAAGGGCGTGACCCCCAGCAAGGTTGTGATGGATGCAATCAGTGAGCGTGCCCAGCAAATAATGGCCACGTCTCCTACTAAGTCGTTGAAGTCCTGTCCACTATCGCCAAGCAGCGCCAGCGGGACGATGAAGAGCGTCCACCAGCGTCTGATGGAACAGACACACAACAGCAGCAAGAGCCAGGACATCATGGAGAAGCTGAGGACGGAACGGATGGCGGAGCTGCAGTCCATACAAAACAGGTGGAAGAACGGCATACTGAAGGAAGACGACCCATCTGATCAGCCAGTAAGTAGCATGGGTATATACTCACATTTGTACTTCACTAGTCCTCACTTTATCATATATAGGAACACCTGAAATCTGGCAAATTTCTACATGTCCTTTTGATAACTACTGGGCAATTTGGCTTGGATTATGGCACTTGAGGAAATTTCGAGTACTTTTGAGTACTCAGTAATCAGTATCATGAAATATAACACTTTGGATTTTGTATTCAAGTTTTGTCATTTTCTTTATACACATTCCATCAATTATTTGATAGTTCTTATTCCAGTTTGTGTAAATATATATATATATATATATATATATTAAGTAATATTCATCTATTTTACCAATGTTTGATATATTTTGTTTGTGGATATCTGTATGTTTCACCAGGACTGGACAATATTTTCATAACAGTTGTTACAGAATGATAATTACCGGTAATCATCTAGTTTCAGTGCACTATTATATCGTGATCGCGTGTAAATCTTGTACATTCAAATCTGTAGGCATCCCAGGCCTGCGCTAGTGCCACCACTCCCTCAGTGACAAAAGAAGAGAAGCGAGAAGCTATCCGAGCCAAAGCAAGGGCTGGTGAGTTAAAGCTGCTTCATCTTAATCTGTTTGTGTGGTGTTGTTTGATCGGCATTCTGGTAGCTGGTCAGCCAATAATGAGGCATACAACTTTATGGATGACAACTTATTGTTTATTACATAGATTAATGTTGCTGTGTTAATGTTAACCTGCTGTTTGTCACCGTGGATATAATGCCATAGTTTCCCCTGGACACACTGTGGCATTATAACCAGGGTGTACTGTATATACTCCTCATCACTTGGTTGTAGTCACTTCTCACTTGATAACACTGTAAGAATCTACACCGAAACGTTGCTCTATGCAATAAACAAAAAGTTGTGTGCCCCATTGTTGCTTTTGAGGTAGTGTTGGGAATTGGTTAAAATGTTATAATTGATGATTGGTTCATTACAAACCGATCAATCATCGAAAATAATTGGTTATAAAGTCATTTATGAAATGTTCCTGGTTATTTTTATTAATGCTCAAATCAACAAACTAATGGGTGTGCAAAATTAAATAAAAGGATGACAAGTAGTGCAAACCTCAAAGCGTAAATCAACAAAAATCGTGCATTTATTAATGCGTGCATTTATTAATGAGGAGGCAAATCAGGAAATTGTTGACCAGAATGACTATACTCACTAATGACTACACTCACAACTTTGAGAAATACTATACTAGTATTTAATCCGACTCTAGTGTAAACATCTTAATTCCCCGAACACATGGGCGTTTGGATCAAAGACGGCTTTCCTTTCAACTGTTAGTATTAGTAATTGACAGTAGACAGGATGATCTCAGTTTGTAATCTCAAGACAAAAGACGATGACAAACGTGTTGATTTGAGGATTAGCGTCATGAAACCTGTCCATGCTCGCTGGATGCAGAGAGCAATTGAAAAGGTAGGCAGAAATCGTGAGGTAATCTTACATGGATGGCAGTTGGCAGGTCTGCTGGACGTGGTCCAGTGAGTTCAAACCTTGTAAACTAGACTGTTTATTCAAAGACTGTAATACAACTTAAATGATTAGTGCTCAATCTTTCTTCCCCAGAATGTATTTTACTTGTTGATATAATATAATGTCGATGTTATTGTGTCAATAAAGGAATTTTTGTGAATCTATCGTTCGTCTTTGTTCACTGGGTTATCGTGACCAAAATACTAGTAATAACGATATCGAGTGCAAAAGACAATATAATAATGACAACATAGCCAGGAGGTTTAAAGATTCGAGATTTATTAATGCGCTTCAGATATAGTGTGGAGCGAGCAGTGCTTTTTAGCATTAATAAGTAGCTTTGTGTTCGATTATGAGAAAATTGATGGCATTATTTTATTGATTTACAGTATTGAGGTTAGTTCGAGTTTTGAGGAATTTGCTGACTGCTGTATTAAACAACAAACTAACAAATAAGAATCACTTCGTGGTTTATATTTTGTACATGCTTGCAGATAAAATTGCACACTTTTACGCTTTGTCAGCTCACCTTTGCACCTATTTTCATATTCAGCTTGACAAATTATCATCCACTGTGCTATAAAAGTTCTGCTAAAGTCAACAGATCTGTGTGCAAGGTGTTGCATTATCACCTTCATGTTACTGATACACTGCCGGCTTTTTAACATTGCTTTTCTCTCATCTACACACAGAGTTTGACGACAAGCTAGCTGCCATGGGCTTTGACCTTTCAGATGAAGGTCAGAACATGGCTTCCTTCAACTTCAAGAACGGCAACAACCAGCAGTCGTACAACCAGCATGTTGCAGCTGAGAAACATGGTTCTGCTGGACAGCCCCCAGCAGGATGTATCCCCCCTCCACCACCGCCACCTCCTCCATCAGGGGCAGCACCCCCACGCAAGCCACCATCAAATCATGGCTCTACTGCATCCAAGCCACCAGTTCCTCCAAGTTCGGGACAACAGCAGCCAGGGAAAGGCACCAGCATCTACAGAATCATCTCCCAGAAAGGCAACGCTCCTGCACCTAGACCTTCACAGCAACCTGCTTTTGGCAATGCTGTGCACAGACAGGCTTCCATCAACAGCCGCAAGGTACAGTTTGACGACAGCTTTGACAGCACGGATGAGAGCGAAGATGTGAGAACATCACAAGATGAGGACACTGAATCTCAGACGGACATTACAGCTCCAGAATCTGACTCGGAACCAGAGACGGAAGATGTATCAGAGTCTGAGGTGGAGGAAGTTGTGATGAGAAGGAAACCTGCCCATCAGAACAGACCACGGCCTCCAGTGTATGAAGAGGATGATGTTAGTCTCAGTGCATTTGTGCCTGACTCTGTACGCAGACAGAGTGTCCTACCAGCCGGGCCGGAGGATCACAGACAGAGCTTCACCAGCGAGACAAGCTTGGATAGTTTCGAGGAGCCCCATCATCCAGCACCCAGGAACACGTACCGCAGCACTTCGAACCTGAGACAGATGGCACAGGACAGTTCTAGCAGTCTGGCCAGTAGTGTAGAGAGCAACAGGGACGATATTGATGACCTCCTCGATGAAGCAATGGATTCGGATGAAAGCGAAACTCCAGTTCCTGCCCCGGTAAGTTACCATAGCAGGACACATACTTGATTCAGGTTTCAATAGGACAGTCATTGAGATTAATTTTCATAAATATATCAACCTTGAATCAACATTATTCTCTATCATATAATATCGCCAATTGGGGGCGATATTTAATGGATAATTAGCATGGCTAGAAAATGGAACAATCTGAGACCGGGGGAATGTTGCTTTGCTTTAACTTGCTAACAGGAGCTGATACGAAGCATCTGATCACTCTTATGGGTTCACACTGTCATATTTACTGAGTTGGCTGATGTATGCCATGTAAAATTGCATAGATAACTCCTCATGTCAATCCCTTTATTGTGTGGTCCAGACTTGATAATTAACAGATAGCTGTTGTATAGCTGGAATATTGCCCAGAGTGGCACTATTAAATAAAAAAAGAAAGATCAGATGACTGAAGACAGATATGGTCAATATAACTCACTTTCATTGACATGTCAAAGCTTCGTTATATTCAGACATCATTAAATAGTAGCAAGGCAGTATTAGTCATCGTTCATGAAGTCGTGGAATTTAAACATTATTTAACAATATATCAGAAAATACATATTTCTTCCCCCTTCCGATGGCCATCTGCCAACATACCAGTAGCCTGTTGAATAAATGACGGTGTATTTCAGCGGCGCCATCACCGCCAGACCAATGAGGGAACAGATAGAAGTCTTATATACAGTGTCAGTGCCTACAGGTCAAGCAGGTGAGGCCATTTGTTGCCATAGTTTCTTCACTTCACTGCCTGGATGCTATGTTTGTAATGTACATTTTCTAATAAATCGCTGCATTTCTGTGAGATAGAGTTTAAAGCCGAAGTAATCTTGAGTCTCAGAACAGTATCAATCTTGTTTTGAGTTATATTTGAACATAAACAAACATAGAGGGTACATCAACTCATGGACCACCTCGTGGTGATGTGGTTAGAGCGTCCGCCCGGAGAGCGGAAGGTCACGGGTTCGATCCCCGACCACGTCATACCAAAAGACGTTAAAATATGGGACTTGTTGGTCCCTGCCTGGAGCTCGGCATTAATGGGTACATTAATCGGAGTCAGTATAATGTGTCTGAGTGGGGTATTCATGCTTCACTGCGGCATGGTATCTCAGTGAGCTAGCACTATAAAACCCGCTGAAGTCTTGGCTAGTACAAGCAGCCGCACATACATATACACACGCATGCACGTCGTCATATGAGCGAAATATTCTCAAGCACGACGTAAAACCCAATTTCACCTCACCTCACCTCATGTCCCCCTCGTGACCAGTGAACAACTTATAATGTATCGTAAACCCCATCTTGATTTGAGCTCGCTCAGTTTCTGTCAACTTATTGTATATCTCCAGGCATCTTCAAGCTCCTCCACCAGCCAAGATGATAATATCTCGTCACAGCAAGTACGTGGACAGTGAGGTTCATGAGGAGGATGTGCCCATGCCTCATCACCCGCCTCCCCAGGAACAGAGGAAATCGGTGCAGGAGCGGATACAGGTGGGTGATGTCTCGTACCACTCGTCATGGCTTTAGTTCCATATGATATGTGGTCCCTGTAGTGATGAGCTCCATATCCTTTGTTGGGAAGTTTTTCAGCAAACCATTAATTGTCTTTGAGAATGACTTTCGTGTTGTAAGGATCCTAGTTAGAACTGGGTACCGTTGTACAAAACAACCTTAGCGTTAAGACTACCTTAAGTCTATGTTAAGGTATGGGAGTTACGGTCACCTTAGCGTTAAGACTACTTTAAGCCTATGTTAAGGTATGGGAGTTACGGTCACCTTAGCGCTAAGACTACGTTAAGTCTATGTTAAGGTATGGGAGTTAGGGTCACCTTAGCTAAGACTACCTTAAGTCTATGTTAAGGTATGGGGGTTACGGTCACCTTAGCGCTAAGACTACCTTAAGTCTATGTTAAGGTATGGGAGTTACGGTCACCTTCAGGCACCTTAAGTCTATGTTAAGGTAAGAGTTCTGACCACCTTAGCGCTAAGACTACCTTAAGCCTATGTTAAGGTATGGGAGTTACGGCCACCCTAGAGCTAAGACTACCTTAAGTCTATGTTAAGGTATGGGAGATACGGTCACCTGAGTGCTAAGACTACCTTAAGTCTATGTTAAGGTATGGGAGTTACAGTCACCTTAGTGCTAAGATCGCTCTGTACAACGGCTCCCTGGTCATCAGCAATCCATGTTTTTTATTAGAGGTTTACTGACTTGGTTGTTACATGTCGTCATATCCAAATTATGTGTAATGATGTTCTTAATGTCAGTCACTTGTTTGGTCAGGACTTCATTATTTACAGATCAACAGACCATGTTATAGCTAGGATATACAGTCAAGCACTGTTGTGTCGAACTCTGATAACTCGATATCTCGGTTGTCTCGATATAACATCTCGGCCCCGGAAAAATCCATCATAATTTATCATTATTCAAGCTCTTTTAACTCGTCTCCCTTGTATTCAGGAGCTTCAAGAGCTGGTTCAACAAGAGCAGAGTGTTATCATGCAGACCAGCAACGCACTCAACCAGTGCTGCAGCAAGGACTCGTACTTCGCCGGCTCCCCAGAACAAGTGGAGTGTAACCGGGTCCTGCTTGTGGCTTGTACGTACATGCAGTTCACTTGTCTTGTCAAATAACGTCTCTATGACCACACATGAGTAGCATTTTTTTTCAAGTATCAAGATGTCTTCTGTTTATTTAAAAGCTTTTTATCAAAATATGGCTGACTGATTCTGGTCATCTTGTTCATCTAAAAGTGAACTGATTAACGTTTTGTTGCAGGTCAGAAACGCCAGTCCTACATGTTGGAGATCCAGAGACTGAAGAACACAGGCAACCTTGACAAGACTGGCCCCGGACCCAAGGGCTCTCTCACTATAAATGACATCCGCCTTCCTCTCAAGAAAGAGTTTGTGACAAAGATTGGAACATCACAAGGTGAGACCTTACTTGGGTGATAGTTTCACACAACTCCTGATTTGCTCTGTCAATGTACAAAGGCTAATGCTGATATATGAAGTTGTTGGTGCAAAGTTTATATTAACTCTGGCGATGGTACTGTATTTCCATCACTCTTTTTAATGTATGGTGAAAATGTGCTTTTGTCTTTGGAATTGATATTGAGCTTAGAATATACTTTTCTTATGATTTTGTCATTACTGAGTTGTCAGGCCGTTACATACCTGCTTGTGTGTATAATTGTACATGATGTCAGTGAACTGGGCAGTCACACTTGCTTACCGTGTTTTACTGCACAAATGCACGTGAATAAAATTGATAATAAAGAAATTATTACACTTGCAAGTGTGCCACACTTGCTCGTGTAATAATCTCTATGTATGCAGTGTAAACAGTTGTGACAAAGGTTAGCAGCTGATCCTGGATGAATGGAACATGTTTCAGATTGTATCAGGGGGTATAAGAGGTGTATAAATGTCTTTGTTTACAGTCATAATTGATAAGGTATTTTACTAAAAGATTCAACGATATAACATAGGTATGAACATATATGTTTATTCATGAAAAGTTCAGATAAGTCTCTACAAATGATAACCAGTATAATCTTGTGTTGTGCAGATAACACAACGTACTACTTCATCATCCTGATCCGCAAGGACACACAAGTGATCTGCACACAGATGCTCTCTACTCACGAGCCTATGATGCGCGGCAGCCTCGACTTCCCCAACCTCATCAAGATCAACGGCATCACCGGTGACTTCCGACTGGACCTGGAGATCTATGGCATGGTGAGTGTTGCTGACTTGTCCAGACTGAAAACTAAATCCTTTTGGGGTTTAACAGTAGCTTTAAGAACTTTATCTGACCTTTTGGGGGGGATTACTGAAGACTATAGACGTTTTAAAACAAATATGTTGTTACTTGGACCTTTTAGGCCTGGATCATTCATCTGATAAAGGGTTGAGCAGTAGTGCTAAAATTGTTTTAAAAATGTGAAAAGTTGTCCATAAACTTTTCCAGTGTTCATACTATCCAAATTTCTGAACATGTCCATCAAAGACTTTAGTAACGTGGAAACAAATTTTGGTAATTAAACACGTTTCTTTGACTATGGATAACATATTACTCGAAAATAATAAAAAAAAGATTGATTTATTTTTTTATTGCAATTTTTATTTTTTGTCACATTGCAGTCCATTTCCAAGGAAATACTTACTAAGGATAAGAAGAAGCCGAAGACACCCAAGAAGTCAAAATATCCAATGACATGTAAGTGGTAGTTTAGATACACAAGGCTTCACATCGACTCTTTAGTTTCTCTCCATCAAAGACAGTGTTCCTTCTCCACAGCTGTTTTACCAGTCAGTAGGTAGATGACAGATTTGTCTCATTCCCCAGGTGTGGTTTTGTACATTGCTCTGCCAGTGATAAAGAAAATCAAGATATAACTGATTATGTACCTGGTGACCTGGGGTGTTTATCAAAGAATATATTCCCGATCTCCAGGCCTGATGTGACCATGGCCTCTAGCCCTATCTAACAGTATACCGGGGCGGTGGGGTAGCCTAGTGGTTAGAGCATTGGCTCGTCACCCCCGAAGGCCCGGGTTCGATTCCCCACATTGGTACAATATGTGAAGCTCATTTCTGGTGTCCCCCGCCGTGATATTGCTGGAATATTGCTAAAAGCAGCGTAAAACCCAACTCACTCACTCTAACAGTATACCACAAATGATTCTCTATGTTGACATAGCAATCAACTTAGTTACTGCCTAATATGGTTACAGACCAAGGGAGAGGTGAGGTGAAATTGGGTTTATCGTCGTGCTTGAGAATATTTCGCTCATATGACAACGTGCATGCGTCTGTATGTGTATGTGCGGCTGCTTGTACTAGCCCAGACTGAAGCTGGTTTTATAGTGCTAGCCCACTGAGAATACCCCACTCAGACACATTATACTGACTCCGAGCCGACCAGTCCTTGTTGTACCCATTAATGCCGAGCGCCAGGCAGGGACCAACAAGTACCATATTTTAACGTCTTTTGGTATGACGCGGCCGGGGATTGAACCCGCAACCTTCCGCTCTCTGGGCGGACGCTCTAACCACTACACCACGGAGGCGGTCAGACCAAGGGAGATATTTAGGGCAATAAGAACATAAAGAAATATTGATCAAGTTGTATCCGATTGAGTACCGTCTTATGCCTAAGCATTTAGCTCACACCATCAAACACTAAAGACCCCCTCCCCCTTTGGATCCACATATGGTGTAATGTGTTCCAGAGGACCTAGCATATAGATGAGACAGTTGATTCATGTATTTTGATGGAATGTTTGTGTTTTCAGTACAAAGTCCGGGTGGCCCAGCTGCCGTGAGGACCACCAGCTTCAGTCACATCACCACAGTACCCATCACCATGAAGTCATTAGACAAGACCTGCTTCAATCTGGAGAGGGTGGGTACAACGTCAACCTTCATAATAACTGTCTTACCTATCATGCAAGGGTATTGGTGCCATTATACTTCATGCTCATTGGTCAGTTTACTTCAGTTTAATTCATTGTTGCAAAGCAGTACATAGCGCCATCTATTCATGACTGATTGTTGGAATGACTAAAGATTTCCGTTGTTTGTGATGTGTTTATCGAGCATTGTCCAAAAATAGATTGAGTTGAAATCTCCACATTTTCCTTATAAATAAACAAAAATCATTCAGGTTAATTCCATATGATTGTGAAGCCTTTTCTGCATTCTTGTTACAGACTTAATGCTAGATTCTGTTTACAAGAAGGGTCTTGGTGTTACCATTTGCTAGAAAGGTACTGATGTTGCCATGTGTGTTGCAGCTTCCCTACCTGTCCCCACTTCACGGCAGCATCTACCTCCGACTCAAATGTCTCATGGAGGCCAATGTGGAGGAGAGAGGCTTCCTGGTGAGTTAATACTTACTTCCTGACTTATGTTGATAATAGACACAGTAATAACTGGCTCTCTCGTTTGATAAATTGGAATATACCAGTAAGAGATTCTATTTGATGGGAAGTTTTTGAATGTGCTGTAATGTTGCTGATTCATGGAAGTAATCATGGGATTGTTTGTTCTTTAAGTGTACAATGCTTTCATACCTGGTATATAATTTTTCCAGACAATGTTTGAAGATGTGAGTGGCCTTGGAGCATGGCATCGGCGGTGGGTGGCTCTGGCTCGTAATAAACTGTGTTACTGGAAGTACCCTGACGATGAGAATCGCAAGGTGAGCATTAAGTTTTGTGTGTCTGGTTATAGAATCAGGGGACCATTTATTATTTCTATTCTCATGTGTGCAGGAAAAGACGTAAAAGTATAGTCCGTTTGGCTCAAAAGCGGACCGATGAATTGCAATCTAACTCGAACACTAATAAACATAAAATACTCAATGAAACGCTGATCATAATCAAAACATCATACCAACTCTGTGAGGTTTTTGCAGAATTTTTGTCCTAAAAATAAAAAAGTTGTTTAACAATCTATCATTAAAATATTGACACAGTTCACTATTTGTTACGAGGGAGGAGTTCAGAGAAAGGGACAGCCAGGTGATCTTGAACGAGACACAAGACTCCATTTCTCCACACATCTCAACTGCCCCCTTTATTTGTGAAGGCAATCTGCTGAGGACTTCTCAATTAATATTTCAATAATACACTGATTTTTGTCCTAGGACCCTATGGGTATGATTGACCTGAAGCGATGCATCACAGAAAAGGTTGGTCTGATCCCACGGGATATCTGTGCACGACCTAACACATTTGAACTGATGACAGTTCGCCAGCCTCGTCAAGGAGAAAGAGATACCCTCGTCAGTCGGACATACAACACCATGACAACAATCAAGTAAGTTGTACTTCTAGAAATAATTATCATGGTCGGATTTGCCTAACAGTAGAATGGGAAATAAGATGAGCAACACTGCTTTATTCTCAATTTCTGTACTATAAGCACGAGTGGTTTGTATCCCTTCATAGGAATGTTACCTTGGTTGGATATTGTTTCAGTACCAAATGGTGTCTTTATGAAACGATCTCAGCAGATTCAAATCTTTTACTTTCACAATGCCTCTCTGTTAATTTCAAGGGACACACCCAAGCTTGTGAAAATTACTTTTCTGACATTCTGTAGGGACACTGATGATAAGACAAAATCTTAATTTGGCCACAACACTTTACATTTTACCAGTGCTTCAGTCATTAGTTGCCACCGACGATCAGATCATGAGAACTCAGGCTATTTTCATCTGCCACATAATACTGTTCATATTTTCCATCTTTGTCAGGCCCTTATGAATTTACTGGCTGGAATGTTACTGTCTTTGACATTATACAACAGTCATACTATATCTTGAAAACAGGTCCATGGCAGGGTTTCTGTCTGTTCTTCGTAAACATTGATGATGTACTCTTGTATGAAATACTAATTGTAGTTTCCTTCTCTTCACAGACACATGCTCTCAGCAGACACAAAAGAGGAGAGAATCGTCTGGTGCAACAAGGTCAACCGAGCTCTTGCCAACATCTGCACATGGCACTCAGATGCCCTTCCCCCCAGTGAAAATACCCAGCAAAAGCTAACTGTGATAGCAGACATTTAACTTGCCAGAATGTGTCAGTGTGCGTGTGAGAGAGTTATCTCCCTGGAGGACATCAGGAAGAGGCGATTGATCTGTGGAAATGTCTGTCAGCAGACATTATGAGACTGATCCCGACAGCCAGCTGTGTATTGTGATTGTGTGGTTAGGGACGAACTGAGGTGCTGCATGCTGGCTTGTTCTGCAACTGTGAACCTAACAAACATTAATGAAATTCAACGTATCAACTGTTCGATCAAATCTTCACTCTCTACACAAATACAAACTTAACATAAGATTGGTTGAAACATAATTGCTTGTGCCAAATATTAAGACCAGTACAAAACAGAACAATACGTTTTTAACTAACAAAACAATGTAGTCATGCAGAGAATTAATTAAAATTAAATTCTATGACATAATCCATAAACGTAACTATTATTACCTCCATATTTTCATTGCATAATTTGCCTACAATGAAAGACATGTAAAAATTTGTTGTCAACGTAACTATTCATATATATTGTAATTATTATCATGTATTTATGTTTTAAAGTACCAATAGTCAGTATAGTACACATGTATTCATTCTGTCTTAGAGTCCCTACTCGTCTTGTCTTTCTGCTCAGTCAAGCCTCTGGGCATCTTCGTCTTTCCACTCCTGTCTAGGGTTGTAACCAGACACTTGCTGCAAGTCAACACACATCTTTACAGCCATACAATACACAAAATCTTGACACCTAAACGAGATTGGATCATCGCAAACAAAACATATGAAAAGCTTGCGTCATTGAAACTACAAACATTGGACGATGCAAAGCAACATGAAATATGTTTAATTTTATAGCAAGCCCTGTTGATGCATGTCTAGGGGATGTGATGCTTGTTTTGTGGAAGATGATGTTGAAGCTCTGGTGAATGGTTCCAGCCCTGTTCTTGTTCTTGTCTGTGAGTTGGTCAGTATTTGTGATATAGCAAAGAGCATCAAACAACGTGACCTCAATCAAGATATGTGTATTCAAGTATTTACATATCTCTGTTTGATATTGGTGATAGTAAAACCAGACTATATTGTGTTGGACACTGTTAGAAACAAGTGAACACTGTAATGTTAGAATCAGCTGGTCTGTAGGTCAAAGGTTAAAGGAGGTTTTAAGACGTGGACCAGAATTTGTACAGTTCTGTAGTGTTGTGATTTCAGATTAGACCATGAACACTTGAAACAGTAGCCGATCATATGTTATACTGTACTTGGATATAAACTGTTATGTCTTTACGTTATCTGTTAAATAGGGTTCCTGATGATAAGTAGAATATTCCTCCTGTCTTGTCAAATACTAAATATTTAAATAAAGTATTGCTAGAGAAGAACGTTTTTTATTGATAAGGTACACTGTGTTTAATGAGACGGCAAGAATATACTCACATTTCGTACATTTAATAGTGCTGCTTAAACATAAATATACCATGTGCAATTTTTAGTTATTTAATGTTAACATGTATCATGATATTGTGGATATGGAATAAATTCATACAAAACATGATGTGGGTTATTTAAAGTTGTTTGTACGGGGTTTGGGGGGTTCAGAGCATGGGTGCCGGTTTGTCCGTGGATGTGACTTTGTCTCCAGCACACTTAATATTCTTTGTAAGATGGTTGATGGATGCTTTCTGTTACATCAAGAAGATACAGGAGTGTGGCCTGATTCTGTTGCAGTGTACCTTCTACTTCCTCCTGGGGTAGCCCTGTGGTTAAAGTGTTCGCTCGTCATGCCAAAGACCTAGGTTCGATTCCCCACATGGGTACAATGTGTGAAGCCCATTTCTGGTGTCCCCTGCCATGATGTTGCTGGAATATTGCTAAAAGCGGCGTAAAACCAAACTCGGTCAGTCAGTCATTGCGTGTATCACTCGGAAGCGATCGTGCGGAAAATAGCATTCGGAATCGTTCGAGTTTTTTTAGGTAAAGGTTCAAATGATATGTGCGAATGTTAATTTTCGCGATTTGGTAAGCTGTGTTCTGATTGGTCAGTCCAAAAGGTTAGCTAACGCGACCTTCTACAAGGTTTTGTTAGACTCCAGTGTATAGCAGTGTAACGAATAATACTGAGCCTAAGTTTACTTAGACTGGGGTAGCCTTGTGGTTAAAGTGTTTGTCACACCGAAGACCTGGGTTCGATTCCCAACATGGGTACAATGTGTGAAGTCCATTTCTGTGTCCCCCACCGTTACTACGTAACCACATGTTAACAGTGGGTATTGATGGGTTTGGGACTTATTCAGGATTGAGCTCACTTGTATGAGGAACATAGGGTAACATTAATTTTGGAATTTAACTGTCTTTCTAAAAAGCATTCTAGTACTTTTGGGGTTTGAGTCCTATCCTGCATTTAAACCATATATCAACTTCTGATAACTTATTTAGTAATAACAATATTATTGCACAAAGTTATTCATTACAATAATGGCTGTCACTGCAGGGAGCCCTCAGGTTGTAATCTGTCGGTCCGTCCGTGTCTTGACAGATTGCAATATTTTCATTCGTGAAACTGTTACTTGTACATAGGCTGGCCGCAGTCTTTTGTGGTCCTCAAAACTTAGTCATTCAGTAACAGTAAGTGGGCTGTAATAGAGGTCATGTGTGCATGATGCCAATATTCGATAAGCTCAGTGGTTAAAGTGTTTGCTCAGCATGCAGAAGTACTAAAGTACTGTCAGAAATAGAAAAAAACTGTTATTTCACATTTACATCTACAATTGATGTAGATGTGAAAGTGAAAGTTCGGCCTAACTATTGTCTCAGTGGTAGGGAGATAGGAAACGTAAAAATTGGACTTTACTCAGGAGAGATAAGTGCAGAAATGAACAATGTGGGTTTTTTCTAAGTCCAAATCGACTTATTTGGAACAGACCATGGCTTAATGCAAATTAGAGGGCGATGATATTGTATTACAAAGGAAACTTTTTAAATACCCATTTTGAAATTAGACTTGGCTTCATTATAAACGATAGCTAACGTAAAAAAATAATATTAATACTGAAACTATTAAGGATGTAGCTACCATGGAGTCTCACTGTCACTATATTGAGAAACAGGTAGGAGGGGTCGTCTCAAAAGCAAAACAAGGACGGGTGTCGGAGATGGTGGTTTGGGGTCGTGCTGGGGTATAGAGATATCAGCTAAGATCAAATGATCCTTCAGAGGAATTAAACTGGGGAAGTGAACGGCATGCCATAAAAATTTACAAAAAAATATCCAGTCCTGTCCATCTTCAGGTGGTCATGCCACCTATATATTTTGAGACATTTAATACGATGACTGATTATGCTTTTCTACGGGTATCATACTCTTTTACATATTTGAACATAAACTTTATGAAAGAAATACACGTAAGATGTTAATCATTAGATGCGACAAATTCAACACAAGAAAAGGCATCAAATATCTTTGAGATGACCCCTTAGGCTTGTAGACAGCATATGCTTTTCATGCCAGGTGAGTTGATGGTCTGTCGTCATACCTGGCTGAGCGACCTAATTGCCATCTATAGTCTGATCTATTATTTTCAGCAGCTATTCGTATTTGTTCTTAGTTTTGCCCGATTTTACGAGTAAACATGCTTTTCTGGATATCCTATTACGCATCCCATTGAACGCCCAATTAGGCCGATGTGTGTTATTTCGACATATGCTGTTTGCAATTGTGTAAATTTTAGGGATACAGAGTAAAAGCCTAAAAACAGTTTTTTCCTATTTCCGACAGTACTTTAGGTTTGATTCCCCACATGGGTACAATGTGTGCAGCCCATTTCTGGTGTCCCCAGCCACGATATTGCAGGAACATTGCTAAAAGCAACATAAAACCATCCTCTCATCTCCCACAGAGATAAGCCTTAGTATGATTAAAGTTCGCATATTGTTTAACATGGAATGCCTAAAGGTAGCCTGAGAGGTCACTCACTCACAACACACATCATTCAGTATGTATTCAATCAATTAGCACCAGCTACACAACCAACAAATATCAACCTTTGACAAACAAACATGTTTACGATTCACTCATTTTATTAAAAGCAGTATTTTAAACTTAAAATTTGGTTATATTTTTCTGAGCGAGATACACAAAATGGAATATATCCAAGCCAGGATAGTATATCATATTCTTAAATGACAGTTACCGGTGAAGATCTGGGTTAGAATTGGTCTTCAGTAACCCAAGCTTGTAAAGGCAACTAACGGGATTGTGTGGTCAGACTCTGACTTGGACACGTCATCGTATCCCAATTGCATAGATAGATGCACATACTGTTGATCACTGGATTGTCTGGTCCAGATTCGATTATTTTCAGACCACTGCCATATAGCTGGAATATTGCTAAGTGTGGCATAAAACTAAATTCACTCACTCACTTAAATGACAGCAGTGTGGTGACTGGTTGTCGTGATAAATAACACTCAGTATGGTCAAAACATGGAAAAGAATTTATTTTCTCATTGTCAACAAACAACACATTTCCCAAGGAATGCCCTAAATTGCTTTGACTGAAACTATTAGATTTCAACAACAAATGAAGCAGCAAGGATCTGTAGTCTCTGTAGCTCACCTCATTTATTTCAAATATCACATCATACATCAAGTTCTGCATATTGGTTCAATATGTTTTCATATCCTTGTACAATAAAAAAGAAACAACTTATGTAAACCAGCTTCTTTTTCATACCTGAATAGTGAGGTTTCAGTACAGATAAAGATAACCTCTAACCCTTTTCATCTGCACCAAAGCATTGCTATTAAAGTACAATAAAGAAATAGCTATCCATAAATATTGTCTAGTTTGTTATCCGTCAACTTGTAAGAGTGAGAGCAATATTCCAGCTATATTGCGGCTGTCTGTAAATAATCGAGTCTGGACCAGACAATCCAGTAATCAACAGCATGAGCATCGATCTGAGCAATTGGGAACCGATGACATGTGTCAACCAAGTCATCGAGCCTGACCACCCGATCCCGTTAGTCGCCTCTTATGACAAGCATGGGTTACTGAAGGCTCATTCTAACCAGGACCTTCACGGGTCAACTTGTAAGAAACGACTATCAAACAATTACCTTTGTTTCATGAACACATGACAGGTGTTATGGATAACAACTTTTTATTCTTTATACAATGTGTCAGAGCTCATTCTTCATCCTTTGTCAGGTGAAAGATGATGAAGGAGCTTGAATTACCTCTGAAACATTGTACAAAGAAGAAAATGAAGTCGTTATCCATAAAACGTGTCCACGTATTCATGTTCGTCCAACTTCTAAATGTCTTTCAAGATGTACCTTTGTTTCGATCATTTGGTTAACATAATCTCTGATCCTTTAAATCACACTCACTACAACTTGGTTTTACATTGGTCACGTGATGCACCAACTGTAACTACAATACCAACAGTCTATAACTATCAGTTGGTGACATGTCTTTAGAAAAACATGACCACCAAATACTAACTGATTCACTAAACATTTGTATTTACAATTTTATTCACAGATAATTTGAATTCACAAATTTATTCACAGATAATTTGAATTCACAAATTTATTCACAGATAATTGAATTCACAAATATATTTTCAGATAATTTGCAATTTGCATTCACAAATTGATTCACTGATTATGTGTATTCACTAAATCACAGATAATTTGAATTCATCCAGTACTTATGAATCATTCTCACAAGATCACCCTCATTTTCCTGTGCTATCATTTTCTACTGTATCTGCACATACATACTGGTATCCTATGACAACCACCCAATCCGAGGGTACAAGTAACATGTTCAGTATGGCCACAATGATGTTTGGCGTAAGCAACATCGTTCTAGGACTAGGCCACCCAGTTACTCAGGTTCTTGGTCCCAGCATCCTCTAGTGAACACTGAACAGATGCTGGACAAAGATACGGTCCACACAAGCTAAATGAAGATCATACACATTGAAGATCATACACACTGAAGATCACACTACACACTGATACAATAGTGAAGATTATATTTCATTTGCTATTTATATATGACTTAAATCGTCTTTCATCTGATTGGTGAAATTGTCACTTGGACAACTTGACAAAACATTATGTTAACCTCCAATGAGGTTAATATAACAGTCCACAGACCCCACTCAGCTAAAATTAGAACGGTAAACAAATAACATAAACCCCCCAGTGTATATTGCAACTGCACAAGGTAGGCGTTGCTTCATTCCTGTGACGATACAATTTAGAGTTGCTTCCCTTTCCTATCAATGGCCGACAAGATGGTTCATAGATCTAAGCAAAGTGAAACTACAGTATTTTTATTAAACAACATTACTGTGTCATTTCATGTTTTTATTCTCTTCGCCATCACTCGTCCAAGCTACAAAAATGCTTGGATCCACCTCAAGTGGAGGCAATAACTGTTTGATATTTCATTGTTGGATATAATTGCATGAAACAGACCCTTCCAAGGAAGCATTACCACATATATGTGTGGACTAAAATGGACTTCAAACATCCATAT